TATTTAAGTCAATAAAATATCTATATGTATTTATTAAATATATTAAAAAAATTTAAAAAATTTAAATTAGAAATAAATATTTTAAAAACTTTAAAAAATTAATAAAAAAATTTTAATATACTTAGATAATTTAAAAAATATATAAAAATATTTAAAACTAGTCTATTTTGATATATTTTAAATTAAACTTTAAATATAAGTTATATTTTTAAAATTTAAAAATAAAATATAAAATTTTAATATTAAGTTATTTATAATTTTAAAGATTTTTATATTAATTAATAAGATTATTACTTAAAAGTTTAATATTAATATTTTTTTAATATTTTTAATAAATAAATAATATCAAAAAGACTTTAAAAATATAATATTATAAAGTAATTAAATAAATTTTAAATTTTAAAAAAAGTAAAAAATTAATTTAAAAAAATATTTAAATTTATATATCTTAAATATCTATCTATATAAATATATTAAAAATATAAAAGAAAATTTAATAGTAAAAATTAATATTAAAATTTAAAAAATAATATAAAAAATAACTTAAAAATTTATTTTTAATCTTATATTAAAAGAAAAATTAAAAAATTATATTTCAATAAATAAATAAAGCTTTAAAAAATAGTTAATATATAAAATATAAAATAAAATTAAAGTAAAAATCTTTATTAGTAAAGTAAAAAAAAAATTATAATATAATTAAAACTTAAATATTATTACTTAAATATTATTATTTAAAATTTATATAAAAAATTATAATTAATAAATATTAAATTTTTATATTATTTTACTCTTTATATTTTTATATTTTATTATTATTATTAAAAATTTTTATTTTAATATTTTTTATCTTTTTTTATATTTCAATTATATATTAATTTGTATTTATAAATTAAATCTATAAAATTAATAAATTATAGTTTAACTAGATAAATAATATAATTTTTTACTATATATACTTAAAATATATATATATATATATATATAAAGACGAATATTCTCATTAGAGCTTTATATTAAAATTGATATTTTAGTATATTTTATTGATAAAAAGAATTATCTATATTTTTATAAAAAATATTAATTAATTAATTAGGATTTTCTCAAGGGAAAAGTTATAAACTTATATATAATAGTATTGTTCAAGAACTTTACTAATGTAAAAAATTAAAAAAATATTCAAATATAACTTTGAAATGGGCATGTTATGAACTACACAGCTGAATTCATGCTGTAGAATCGTATGACCTCAAATCAATGAACTGGTGCATTTGTCTGAGAAAAACGTTCATCAGCGCTGCGGGTTAAGAAGGCTTAATCCTAGTCATCTCATTGCTCTGGAGATCTAGAACTGAAGAGTTCCTACAGTGGACATAGAGCTATTGAGAAGGTAAGGCCGTACTTACGGTTGATGATGATGATGATGACGATGATGATGATGATGAGAGAAGGTAGCCCGTTGGTGGAAACAATTAAACTTAGCCCATTTAACTTTTCAAAAAAGGAGAGTATTTTCTATAGAATTTTATAGTCAGAGGCTGACTAGAAAGTAGGAATCTCGAAAAGAAAATCTCTTTTGATCTCTGGACACGATCTTTGAGATGCTGGCTTTTGCATTTGAGAACATTGAGATACGAGTGCTTCTATCAGTATTGTATATTGATCAAGCCCTATGATTATCTGATAAGATGCATGCTTCATGTCATACTGCAGCAAGAGGGGTATAACTATAAAATTGCCCAGAACATACATTGTGTGCAACCGCAAAAATCAATACAGATGCACCCTCTTCCACACTCGATTGGGCTCTCTGATAGGGTCATCGATTACCACTATCGGGATCTCTAGGGCTCAGTTAGCCGGCCCTCAGGTTTCACATACAAAGTGTTCGTGATGAGAAATGAGCCCGAAATCTGTTCGGCACATCTCCATTGTAGAGCGTATATAAACATGCGTACATCGCCATCCTGATATCCAAAGCAGCTTGAGGTCGTAGGACTCTCTGAGATGTTCTTCCGCCTCGCCATATGAATCGGCAGCCTCGGGTTTGCTGAGGATTGGATAGATGGCGGGGTTGCCCACAGTAAAGCATCATTGACCTCTTGCATTCAAGAGGTTGGATATTGTTGTTGTGGTGCTACTGGACGGCATTAAACTTTTTTTGAATGATTAACCGGGTTAGTTTGGTTTTGGATTGCAGTGAAGGGATGCTCCAAAATTGTGGATGGCCGGTAATGAAAGAGGGGCAATTCTCACATTTCAACAGCGGTATTTCGCTCACAATTCCTTCCTACCGAGGTACCGAAGCTGAAGTGAACAATATTATTTTTCCATACACGAAATTCTGGAGTGTATCATTCGCGTAACATTCAGCCTGTAGGAATTTTTTATACGTATATATTCGAATAGGGCTGAATATCCATGGATAACAAAAATGGGTAAGTAACAACTGACCGATGAAATGAACGAAAACGAAAGGCCACCAAACATCGGAAAACACCCTCCTGTGCTGCAGCACTATGCACCACTACCAACAAATGATCATCTCAACGAAATGACCCCAATAATGACCTAGTAGAATAGTGGATATACGAAGAACTGAGTTGAATAGCTCCCACAATTCGTAGTTGGAATTAGTGAACGTCTAATTTTCGATGTGGACAAACGAGGGTTGAATCGATGGGTTCTTTAACGGATGGAAATAATACGGGGAGAGAAATAGAAGAGGGGACGGCGATGAGCATCCATTGTTCAATTCGTTATGCTGCACCCCCACTTCTTTTTCCCGTGACGCCCTATTGATAATTGCTCGGATAAAAGAAAGTCATCACTCTCCGAAATGATACATATCATTGTGTGTCGTATATGTATACAAGATCTCTTGCTGAGAGAACTGAGGATATGGCATCGTAGGGAATGAAAGGTCTGGAATCTGCGCATTGTTTTGAGAGGACATATGAGGTTCCGTGGAAGAGTGGTGATCTCCATGCGTTGGCATATCGATTTTTCCCTCGCCTTTATCATTGCTTTCAAAAGTGGGTCCGGATTTCGTATTTGTAGCATCATCGGGGGAAGACTCAAGACCGCAGCTCGGGTTCTTCAGTATCTGCTTTATCCGATCCGTGTCAAGATTGCACAGATTGAAAACTTTCTTGAGAACTTTGCGGACGTTCTTTGCGACTAGGAATGTCTGCTCTAACTCCAGGAGGGTTTTTACGCAAATGGCCAAGTAGGAGTATTCTTGGCTCACGTCGGTAGTCTTGTGCCGCTCCGTGATGTCAGAAATAAAGATAGTACTAGCCATTTCAATGATGTGCAGGCCTACTCCGCTTAGGGTAGTCGCGTTTCTATGATAGGCCCGGTAGTCTGTGAGGTATATGGTGATTTGGATGGCATGTGCTATACAGATGTTTCGAAACTTGTCCGCTCCCGGTAGCTTTTGGGAGTCATCTTTTCCAAAACCAGCAAGGGGGCGGTATAGGACGATGATAGCTGCACAATATTGCATGCTAAGATGCAAGAGGAGAGGAATGTCAGTTTCTTGTGCTCTGTTTCATTTTAAGGACAAAAGGATACCCATACTGCAGAATAGCAATTGAAGGAAGCCCATCACTCTTGTAATGTAGCTGAGGGTCCAAACGACGATACCAAGAAGTAAGTTGATCACTTAGAGTATTGATTTTTGCCGTCGTGGGTTCATATTTATTCCTAGAGCGAGATTAGCTTTCGATCATATAGTTTAATGTTTCAGATACAAGACGTACAAATACTCGACGATGAATCCGACCAGCTCCAACAGAGAGACCCAAGCACCAGCGATAAGATAGTGCAAGGGTAGTATAACATCCGAACTCGGTAGTCGAGCAATAGTCACACTTTCATCCAGTCTCAAATAGGGGGCGCGACCAAGATACAGGCTCCAAAGTCTACATGTGGAACGCAAAACAATCAGTAAATGTGTCTAGGGAGATTGAGATCGAGGGATAGGATGCATACCGATCGAAGGCATAACAACCCCAAAAAGTAATTTGGCGTACCTCCATTTCAAGTTGTGTAAAATTTTCCTTTGACATATCGCGGTGAAGGCCCATGTCAATTGCTAGGCGACAAGCAGCCGTGGTTAGTGACAAACCCTTCATGTCGTCGGCAAATGCACAGTATATAACGGATAGCAATAGCAATGATTGTATCGTCGTGATCCGAGGGGCTTGATTTCTTTCCTCCTCAAGTAACCTCGAGGCTTCAGCAAATAAACATTGCCGGTCGGCCATTGGAGGTGCTTGTCTGCTACCCGGCATCTTAATGGGTGGCAGAACCATGGCACGTATTTTAGGTCGAGAAGATATTCTTGCCGCGCATGCCATGATGCAGTAAAGAAGGGCTTTACTGTAAAAGTTTGTTTCCCCGGCTGCCATATCGCGTTCGAAGGCGGTCTGATGGAAGACCTGTAGCTCCGTATGTTGGTACTTCCAATATAAGTCTAGCAAATACTTTTGAGTGTCTGGATCAACCTCAAAACCACCGCTCTGAGACGATCCTGCAGTCCCCTCTTTCCAAGCCTCAACAGAAGACCAGACCTCATTCTTATCATCCTCCTTGAGAGTCAGGTGCAAGCTAGATGTTGGACCGGCATATCTCGGTGTGCCATCGAGTTGGTATCTACCATCACAGAGACAGGCAATAATATTGCCAGGGGGTGTCTTGGGGAGTGACGACGGATGGTAGCTAGGAAATTGATTGAGCTCGTACAGAGTTAATATCTCACGGGCCTGGACCTTCTTCTGGAATTCAATCTCACGAAGTTTCTGTTGAAGATCTTCAATCTGACTGTGTAGCTCTCGAATATAGCGCTTGGAAGATGGTCTGAAGGCTAAAATGTTATCATTTGTATAGAAAGCGTCTGCTGATGTGGGGTCGGACCTTTTTCGTTCATCAAACTCAGGTCCGGGGCATGGAATTCCTAGTCTTTTGCATTTGTCGCACCCGCCGTCTTCCGGTTGACACTATAAAGCAACGGTGTGTCAGCAACTCCCTTTTATATTGATCTTTATCAAACTCGGGAAAGGAGACTTCATATTCTAGCATGATTGTGTTCCAGACCTTGATCTTTTTCACTCGGCAATTCAGACAGGCCAGGGTGTAGCCCAAACCCGAGCGCTTCGCTGAGGACTGATTTGGCTGAGTTTCTTTCTCCATATGCGACGGAGGATAACCATGAGATTGAAGTCCAGGTAGAACTCTCGTTTGCGGTTGCAAAGAGGGTGGGAAGAGAGGTCGTGAAAAATGTTCTTGAAAGGATTGGTGTCGAAGGAGCAGCGGCGAGGCCAATGTCTGTGGTACGGCCTGCAGCTGTTGCAGCTGAGAGCCAGCTACTTGGTCTTCTTCCCATTTCAAGTTGTTGACATTGTTTTGAGGTAATGTGAGTGGGACAGAGTCGACATCTGGTACCATCTGCATGTATAATGGACAATGGAAGCTGGGGGGTTCCATCGCGATTGTCGAGAGATTGGCTAGCGAGGGTTTAGGTGGCGAGCAACTGGTTAGAATAAAGGTCGCCTCAAGGCCAAGTTAGCGACTTCGGGCGCTAAGGTCTGGGGAATATCATCCCATCAAATGCTCCACGCCTGACCTCGATATATGAACCGCAGCAACCATATTAACGAGCAAAAATGTCCAGGAAGTCAAAAATTGGGTCTGACGGTGCAGCAGTGGAACCACCAGAGGTCAGGACGAGAGTCAAAAAACCCAACCGCCAACCATCTGAAGAAACAGGTCTGTGTGTTCAGTGCATGGAAGATATAAGCCAATCCATGGCTGTGGCGCATCCCAAGCAGAACGCATGCTTATTAGTTCTTATTTTGAATTGGTAAATTTGGGAGGGTTTCCAGGGTCAGATCAAGCCCATAATATTAATAACTCGTAGTGTACGACAGCCTTGCATAATCTGGGTGCCTGGGTCCTCGATAATAAATTACTAGTTGTTTCTCTTAAAGCTGCCCATAACTGATTCCGAGGTCCGCGCCTTAAATTTTGGGTTGGAGGGGGAGCTCCAAGCTCCCGTTGAGTGGATGGGGGATCGACGGGTCAACTTGTCTTTCTCAAGAGGCTGTGACTTGATCGTCCTATCAACGGCAGCATCGATATGGAGTATTATTGCCAACGTAATTCGTCTTTGTCCTTGCAAACTTATCGGGAGCGTGCAAAACTTCCCTGTATTGCTCTTTCATTCGGACTGATCCGCATTCTCAGTCAAAATCCACGTTCCCTCACAAGAGTAAAGTAAACTCCTTTCCGCAGACAAATCAAGAGCGCGTCATCTGCTGCATTTGTCGGTCTCAACAATGATACAAAGTCGATTTTGTGTTGATGTTGCAATAGTCCCTATCTGAGACCCAGAGAGACAATACAACTTTAGAAACGCTCCTAGATGGTGCCTGGGTTAGGCGACAACAATCAAACAGCTGGGTGTAAGCAGCTAAGCCCAAGGTACTGTAGTTACGAAGCTGCAAGGGTCCTTGCGAAACATGCCCGACGTCCACCAGTAATTAGATGCACAAAACCGTATGATGCTTTCTCAGTGCCACCGAGATTACATAAAGCGCACACTACGCTTAACTAGTTAACTTGTTAACTAGTACAACGTATTTCACCACTTCCTGGGCCACTTTGTACCATTCACACTAATTTAGTATGAGAGACTACCTCTAAGACAAGCAAGACAGACACAAGGAGGTAATTCCCCATACTAAAATTGGTGTGGTGTTACGAAGTGGCCGAGTAAATGGTGAAATACATTGTGGAAAATCCCTTCAGAAGGGCGACCAATTAATTGGGTATAGCCTGGCCCTTCGGTCATGGCTCTTCGTTTCGATTCTGCATCTCGTAGGTCATGACACATTCGGTATATCAATGTCGTTGGATTTCCCAAAACTTGCACTGGTTCTCTCTGGTTAGAGGGTGAAGAAAGTTCAGGAGTGAATCTGGGCTGCTAGATGATTATCATAGTGCGATAAAACATGCTCTCGAATGTTTTCATGCATTGAACGATTACCTTAGCCCGGCAAGATATCCGGACAAAAAAGTCCAACGTTGAATCTATGAAACGGAACATTAGACGTTGCTGAGAACAGCACCCCTTTGCGAATCGGGAGATTAAACTCCCTGGTTATGGATTTATCGCATAGCCATGTTAGCTTTCGACTCCACAAGTATAAAAAAGTCGTAGATGACAAGGGTTTCCATATTTTGGGCAGATAGAGAAAATATGATTTCTAGATGGAACTGTGCTGATGCGCCTCTTCCCCTGGGATATGTTCATGATAAACTGAGTATATAGACGTGTAATAGTCTATCATTCGTGCAGTGGTCTTGAACAGTAAAACCAACCGCTCAAGCTAATAATATGATTCCAAATGGCACTCCGGTGCGGTTAACGAGATAAACCTGGGAGGAAGTTAGCCTATGCAGATACCAAATAATACTCCAGATTAACATCAAGATAGTTCCATCTGCTGTAAGTAGACATCGAAAAGGTGGTGATATTCAATACACTTAGGGGTTTAGGAATCTGGTCCATGACACACCTATATCCACTGACTGCGGAGGTGGGGGATCAATCGAAGAAGGGATATATATGTAGCTTTGAACCATCCATCTTGGAAAAAGATCAATGTTGAATTTTCTTGTTGGTCGTTTCTCCGACTTAATGGGCTCCATGATTTAGGTTCCGAATGGTCCGTTTCAACCCAACTTGCCTGACCACAACAAGCTTATTTTAACTTCAAACCACTTGGGGACATTTTGGCAATGCTGCCACTGGCAGCTCGGGGCGTGGTCTTCATTACTGTCGTGTATTAGACTCATGAGATTTCAAATGGTATGGTGAATGTAGTTGGTTACCCAAGTGGCCCGAATTGATACTATCAAACTTGGAAGCTGTCTTGAAATTGTGCTATACATAACGTTGCCTGCGGGTGCTCGACTTCAGCCTTGTTGCGCGACTGCTGCAGAGAAAGTAACACACCAGTTGCGTGTATAGAATGATAATATTATCGAATTTCTCCATTTTCCAAGCCCCAGCCAACAAAGTTGCTTCGTGACTGGGCGCCGGGGAATTAGGCTGCCTATGAATGAACTTTCTGCATGTTTGATCTCCTTGCTGCTGTCTTCTTGCGACAGGCAACTTCGGCCCCTACCTAGTACCCCTGGTGAATTCCACTCATTGCCTCTGCAATGCTTCTCCCTCCTTTTGACCCTCCGCAGCCTTATAAACAGTTCCCACCACTATACAGCCCAACCCCCAAATTCAAGCTTTGGATCTAGATGAAACTCAAAGCGTTCTTAGACCTTCCATTGGATAGGAAATTGATCACTATTAGTAACAATATTACTGCAGTTCTGCGTGTTGGGTGGGGTTTCTTATGTCACCATTCCCTTTCTGAAACCTTTTTCACTCTGGCGCGTTTTCTGGCAATATGTACCAACGTTTGGGAGATAACAAAGCTCGGGTGCTTAAACTTTCAGTGGGACTTTTTATAAAAAGGGGAGCAGAACTAGATCTTAAGTGGAGGGTCCACAGGGCAATCTTGATATTTCGTGAGGTGAATTTGAATTTTCAACTAATACAAGAGGCGGGAAGCGTCCAATCATCACTAGCAATTCTCTATCGAGATGCGAATAGAATTATAATTAATGCACGGTGATTGCTTCGCCCAACCAGACGTGGGGAATAGTAAATGTATGCTTTTAGGGACCACCTCTTTCCATTTTGCAGTTCAGGTTCGAATTAACTAATTTCCCTAGTTCCGTCGTTTCCTTCCAGACATGAACATCGTTTTTGAGGTCATTGAATGCATTTATGCAGAAATACCAATCACACCTGGAAACCAACATCGAATTAGTTCAAGATCCCATACCCATATCCATTCGCAAAGAACTGGGAGATAAGATACATACCACAGGCGGGGCGGGGACCAGCGTTGCCGGTCTTCTTGGATTCTTCGTTTCCACCCTTTCCAAGGTCATCAGTGCCAGCGTGGACGACGACAGTGCGCTGTTGAAAGCAAAAACAATTTCTGGTTAGTATCTATTCACCATTTCACCATTTTTTTTTTTTTTTTTTTTTTTTTTTTTAAAATCTACCCAGTATGGAAATCTGGTATAATGGCTTGACTTACTCCAAGCACACTGTGTTCGCCAATGAGCTTGATGAAGATATCCTCCATCATGCCAGAAGCGTTTCCCTGAGCGTCAGTGGTAATGTTTCCTAGGTCTCCAACATGGCGCTCAGTATCGGTGGGAGAACCGTGGGATTTGCCGAACGGGTTGACTATTGGTGTAGCCGAAATTAGCTTTTGGAAAAGTGGATTTATAGATTCATGTATCCGGTGGAGGGCAAAGGGAAGCAAATAGCACCTACAGTGAGGGCCGGCAGATGTGCAGCCATTGGTATTGTCGCCAAACTGATGGATGTGAAAGCCGCGAAGGGCATTTGGGTCGTTGCCAGAAAGGCTGTATGTGATGACGGTTGCGGAAGACTCCGAAGCCTGCTCGAAGACTACAGTGCCCTTGACATTGGAGTCACCACGGAGAACAGCGACTGTCAAGGAGAAGGCCCCGTTTAGGGGTTAATGTGTCAACTTTATTGTAGAGAGAGCCAAAGAAAGAGAAGGAAGAAAGAAAGAAAAAAGAAAGAAAGAAAAAAGGGAGAGCATGGCGTGAAACCACAGGAACGAGGGCATGGGTTCTGCTTGGGAAATATGCTCATCAGGGCGTGATCTAGATAACTGTTTCTAGTCTGGAACCAAAGGACCTTGGATGAAAAATGCAAGACTGTTCGATCAGATGATTGGGTTGGATTCTATGGATGGCAGAGTGCCAGGTCCAAGCAGTAGCCAGAGTGAATGGCGGAATGAATAGCCGAGCACAAAGAAATGGAAACAAGATAACCTACCGGCCTTGACCATTTTGGCAAAAATAGTAGATGGGTATTGGGAAATTGGAAAGGATATCGGTGGCTGTGAGAGAGGAGGAGACGATTGATGAGAAGATGGAGAGTTGACAAGAATTGGCCTCGGAGAAAATCACACCCGGCCACACCCAACAACGACTCGTCTAACTAAGCGGTTGGTTGTTGAGTTCACAACAAACCAGCGGAAGGTTTGAGGGGCAATGAATCGCTGACTCATCCCCGCCCTTCCCGAGATCCCGACGGACAGGGTGGAATGACGTAATCCACGTGCTATGCTTTGTCAGCGTCGAACGCTCCTTGGAATGACAACAACAAACCTCAAGACGTCCGCAGACTTCAACGCTCTACTCAACTTGCTGTCTGTCTGTGTCTGCTCTGTTGTTCTATACCTATTTGCAGAGCTATTCGAGATTGGAATAAAAGCACGGCAATGCTGATTCATGCCTGCATGCCGGAAACATCCATCTTGGATCTATTTGTAGATATTTTCAGCTACATCTCGGCCGGTCACACCTTGGCTTGGGCCAGTTCTGCTTCAATGCATGCTCGAGACTCTCTCTGTCAGCAGGCCCTTAAGGAACCTCTGTGCAGAAGTGGAACGAACACCCTTCTGAAATGGAGATAGTTACTGGTTGACAGCTGACTCATTAGATCTGATGGAACCCAGGCCCCAGCTTTGAAGTATGCATGATGCTTCTATGTGGGTTTTATCAATTTCGTCTCATGTGACCGTGAGTTCATAGGATGAAGAATCAATTGGGGCGCATACATCCCTTGTGGCGGGAACCAAACCCCCCGCCCTAGTGTTCATATCAACAAACCATTTTTAAATTTACATGCGGATAGATTTGATTTGATTTTTTGATTTTTTGATTTTTTTCTTCATTCAATTCTCCATATCTGGGATGACGAGAAAGCACCATGCACGTCAAATTCGTGTTTAATATCACCAATAACGTGGTCTGATCGTCCTTCGAAGGCCAGAATACGACCGCCGTGTTGCTAGGAACGTCTTGTTGTAACACACCTTCGTGCCACTGTGTCACAATGATCGCTTTGATGCAAAAGAGGAGGCCAAGAGCTGATGAGGACAACACATAATTGTTATTATTATCATGATTCTCATGCACCCTCCTGTGCACATTCCATCATTTATTGCCAGGATCAGGCAGAAACGATTTCTATGTTCATCGCGATGTGTTTTGCGCCCGATATGATGGGATTTCTCCAATTGACTGTTTCACGAAGTGGGCTCGAGGCTGACGTTGGGATACCGTAACATCCCTGCAGTTGGGGAACAATAGGGATTTTCCTTCCGATTTTTCTCAGCGGGGTTGTTGAATCATGCGATTGGCTGGCATCTCCTCCAACCTGGGGTCGATCTGAAGAGAATGACATTCCGCGAGATTGATGCGCTGATGGATAACTACCCGCCCAGGTGGAATTGCCTGCACACCAAACCAACAAAAATGCCTTAGTCCCCCCTTATTTTTAACTTTACGCTTATCCCAGTGCTGCTAGACTGATTCCTACCCCTCTTGTTTCTATTACATCGATTCCTTGGGAATCTTTCGCTTTTGTCAACATCTTCTACCTTTGTGCTTTCCGAAATGAGTGAGTTTGACTCTCCTCAGGTCTTAGACTGGGAGGACGACCTGCCAGACAATGTATGTTTTCGCCTCCCGGGCTTCACACTCCCCCTTAACTGGGAACCAACACCGTCGGGCACGCCCGTCTCAACCCCGCGTGCCAGCATTGATGGAAGACCGTCCGGGCTTCGTATCCTTCACATCCAAGGCATCCCGCGCGGGAGATTCCCCAGCGCACTGAGCTATCAGGATGCTCTTGATGATACCTTGAGGTAATGGCATTTCCCTGTTAAGGGGGGGGACAGTTGTTGACTTGGCAGATACCCAGCCTTAACGATTCGAGAGAATAAGATGGTCCATATTATGAATGAGATCACAGATAGACTCAACTGGAATGTAAAGGTTGGAGTTTTTCTATTCACTGACATTTCTCGGATGTTAATACACCCAAAAATCATTATCTGTGAGATATATTTTGTCATGATCTTGTCTTACAATACCTGTGCCACCTATCCGCCCCAACCTCTCCTAGCCATTAGTTGGATTACACAATGGACAAATCCTTATTTATTTTTATAATAGGTATCCGACGATGGCGTTGTGGATAAGTGGCATAATGAAATGATGTCAGGAGAATATGGCATTTCTGAAGCCATGGCGAAGTGGGTAATTAATGAACTTCGTTACAAAACAAGGATTTTCCATGAATATGGGCTTGTGGATGTATTCAATGGAGGAGTGGTAAAATCCGACACTGCTGTACCGACATCCGTCAACCAGTCGTTGAGAACGGGGGTTCGCAAACTTGAAGATGTGCCCGAGGATATCAAGGATTATCATCCTTCAACAGATAAAAAGGTCCTCGCTCTAGTTCACCCATCGCTTTTCCCCCTCGTGTATGGCCGGTCACGTATCTTAAAGGAGAAGATACTAAGACTTGACGATTGCATTCCCAGCAGCGGCCTAGGAGAAACACTTCCAGTTCCGCGCAGCAAATACACGGTGTTTGACGAAAAGCTGGATAACCATTCCGGATGGGCAGGTAAATTTTGGGAAGATAAGATATACAGTCAAAAGTTCCAATGGCTACCTTGTAATGTTACATTTCTTGACGAGAAGGGCTCTTATCTCTCCTTGGATCCTAAGGACCCATCCAGAGTTGCCGCAACATCTGTTGCTCCGCCTTGTCGGATAACAAGCTACATCAACAACCTCCACCCTAACAAACATCGAGATTTATACGGAACGATTGAGGAGGTGGTTTCCCGAGCAATACCGTTGTGGAATAGAACTTTATCGTCTCTGAGTGCCGAATACACTCGACGGATTAACTACGATATATGCATCAAGGAAAGCTCGCACAGATTCCCCGGTCAAGGTGGAGATGCATTCAAAATACCGGAACGATCAGTGACCAAATCGGGATACGTATTACCCGAACCTAGAAGGTTTGGCCCGACAATGACACCGTCACTGTCCCCCGGGTCGGTTGATCTAAAAAAGCAGTACGGCAACACCGGTTTTCAAGTGATAGTAAAACTTGAAAATATCCATCTTACCCCCGAGAAACCCAAATATGACGGCGTCTCCTGGCATGTTGAGGGTCAGCTTGTAAGTTCTATCTAAACAGAATCCCAGGTAGGGTATACAACATCTACCGGCATCAATTCCTCACACACTACAGAATGAACACATCTGCGCAACCGCCCTCTACTACTACGATAACCACAACATCACAAACAGCTACATCAGCTTCCGTCAACAATGCGATACGAACCCACACATAAAAGACACCCGCGGTGAGGACCCAAACACATTCCTCCCTGAAATCTTTGGCAAACAGACCTTCTCCTCCGCCACCCAAATCCCCGGTAGCGTCCAGTGCTCCGAAGGCCGCCTCCTAACCTTCCCCAACACGCTTCAGCACCGCGTGGAACCCTTCGAGCTGGTCGATAAGACACGACCAGGTCACTGTAAGATCCTCTCCCTTTTCCTTGTGGACCCGCACATCCGCATCATTTCGACGGCAAATATTCCCCCGCAGCGCCGCGATTGGTGGACAGAGCATCTCGAGTCGACGGGGGCGTTGAAGAAGTTACCGAAGGAATTGGTGCATATGGTTTTTGGCAGTGATATCAATTTTCCGTTTAGCATAGAGGAGGCTAAGCGGTTGAGAGTGGAATTGATGTCGGAGATGGCGGCCAGGGCTACAGAGCAGGATAGTCATTTTAGGTATAGGGAGTTTTCTGTTGTTAAGCGGTAGATCGGGCTTGTCGGGTTTAGGTACAGGAATTTTGCTCATGGTGCTTCAATTTTGCTGCAATTGCTCCAATTTTTTTTTTTTTTTTTTTTTTTTTTTTGGGGGGGGGGGGGGGTTTCCCCTCCCCTTTTTCCTTTTTTTCCCTTTTTCCGCTGGGTAGTCGAGGGTGTTTGAGCAGTGTTGTTTATCTTTCGGTTCCTTTGATTTACCTTCTTCGGGATACTAATTACTGCTTGTGCCATTTTACGCGTGCTCACTGCTTGCCAGGCCCGGAGACGTCAATGGTTGCAACAAGACAAAGCAGACGGGAAAATATGGACGACAGAGACGGGAGTTAGGATTATATACCTATTTGGTAGTTGGCAATTTGTTAGATAGCAGGCTTATGGAATACTTTGTTCTACTTCCTTGCAAGGTGCATCAACTATGCTACCTAAGGATGTTCAACATGATCGCATTCCTCTTACCTTTCTCTCATCCCTGCCCCGTTCCTGAGGAGGATGCGTGCACCCCAAAGACACGGAAGAACCACCTCCCACGCCGCCGCCTGCATCTCTCTCTAGTATTTCCCAGAGCCTTCTTTTACTTAGCTCTCTGTTCTCGGGTTCCTTCCCGCTTCGACTCCTCTGGGAAACAAGTATGTGTTTGAATTGTCCCTCGTTCTACTAATGTCTTCATAAAAATTCTCCGTGAGCTGGCGAGATAGTAGCTCAAACTAGAGATCGGTGAGGAGGTGGAAAGGATGGGCTAGAGAGAGGGGAGGAATGGCGAGAGAGAGAGAGGAATAGTTATAACGCCATGTACGTAAGTGGAAAAGGCATGCCCAGATAGCTATCTATCATGGTATAGGGACAGTAACTGCGGAGTTGAAAGGAGATAAGAGTCAAATTCTACTGGGTAGTTCTCCATATACAGGATAACTTCAGATGCAAACCTCAACGCGTACCAGGGTGGGTGGCTAGTTACCTGTGTAAATTTTGCAATGTAATAATGATAATAATATTAAAAATTCCGACCGTCAATTTTTATTTTGCCCCTGCGCAATAAAAAGGAATAAGCCATAATGAGTACCCAAAGTCCCAAAATTGCCGTTGGTGGAAATCGTTTTACGTTATTTCGGATACTAAGAATACTGCAAATTGAAAAGACGACACAGAAGCTACTGCACAATTTATAGCCAATGTGGGGTCTTGATGTCACTTGGGAAACAATTTCTCAGTTCTTTTCTTTTCCTTTGGCTATATATGGTATCATTGTCGCTCGTCAAGGATTAATTATGCGCCAATCTTCTCTTTAAGAATGTTTTTAAGCGTGACTGCATCAGCAGCGAATTTGGAGATGCCCTCCCGCAGCTTCTCGACGGCCATTTGATCTTCGTTGAAGTCGAAACGGAAGAGAGCTTCGTCATTGAGGTAGGAGCGCTTGGGAATATCAAGGGTAGCAGCCTTGGATGCGTCGAGTTTCTTGGGAATATGGGCGGTGGAGTTGTACAGTTCTTCGAGGAGGTTGGGCTAGCAGATGTCAGTCATTACGCATATTCTTGGGGGTAGATGTTTATCTGTAACGAGAAGGGGTTAAGATGACGTACCGAAATGGTCAGATAGTCGCATCCAGCCAATTCGGTGATTTCTCCAGTGTTTCGAAAAGAGGCACCCATGACAATAGTCTTGTATCCGTACTTCTTGTAGTAGTTGAAGATGCTCTGCACGCTTTTCACACCAGGGTCTTCCTCGGGGGTAAAATCTTTCTTCATGGCAGCTTTGTACCAGTCGAGGATTCGGCCAACGAAGGGGGAGATGAGGTAGGCACCAGCTTCAGCAGCAGCAATGGCCTGGACTAGAGAGAACATCAATGTCAAGTTACAGTTGACGCCATGCTGTGATTGGAGGATATGAGCTGCTTGGATGCCCTCCCATGTCGAGGCGACCTTGATCAGAATTCGCTCCTTGGGAATGCCAACGGATTTGTAAAGCTATTGTTGCATGTGTCAGTAAGGTGAACATTGAAACCAATTGAGGGATTGTTGACCACATAGACATATTATACCTCGATGATGTGAAGAGCCTTGTTGACGGAAGCTTTGGTATCAAAGGAAAAGCGCGCATCGACTTCAGTCGAGACTTTGCCGGGGATTATCTGCAAGATCTCCTTGCCAAACTCAACCAGAAGCCGATCGAGACTGGCATCAACTTTTTCTTCAGGAGTCTTGCCCTATATTTATTTGCCATCCATCCCTGTCAGCTCTTCCAGCTCTGAACATTTCGACACATCACCCTACGTGGGATTCTCGCCACGTACTTGAATCTTCCCATACTCAATTGCAGAATCAATCAACTTGGCGTACTCTGGTTTCTTCGAAGCGGCAAGGATCAGTGAAGGATTGGTAGTCGCATCCTGAGGCTTGTACTTGTCGATAGCTGTTTCAAGACGTCAGAGCAAAAACCCATAGCTCCTGGAAAGCGGCGGATATTGTCAAAAACCAAAAAAGCAGGGTGGTGACACATACTTGCAAAGTCACCTAGATTACGGGAAATTCTATATCAGCTATTATTCCATGGCTTCAGCTGAATTTAACCGAGAAGATTAGAGATTGAGATGACGGCATACCAGAATCGCAGACGACGGTCTGTACAGCAGTGCATAGAGGACAAAGTCAGTTTCCACATAGTCTCTTCAATCGTCTGTCCAGAACTAGTGAGAAGAAACAGAGTGGCGATAAGCAACTCACCGTGCCAGTGGCCTTTAATTGATCGAGGGCGGAAGGCATGGTTGATGAGGAGTATGTGTATGTATGATTGTTAGTGGAGAGAGATGGATGAAAGTTGAGGATAAATATATCAAGAGAGAGATGGAGATGTGTGTAGACCGGTCTTCTAATAAACCGGTTAAAAGAATCCAGGCAGATTATTTTATCCGACAGTTGTAGGTGTAATCTAGAAAAAGAGAAACGAAGGTCTCCAGTATGTGGCGGTTTCTGCGATCGTTGCAATGGTGGGGCAACGGGGACCGAGTGCCTGTGACTTATAGTTGCTACAGGAATTGGCTGGAATACACTTGTACCCGATACACTCCATCCACCCAGTTTCATCCGGTCGACACACTTCCGGCACGTGAACCTATTTTCCACCGTGTATATAATAGTCGCTCTCGAAGTTAGCAACCTTTGCAATCAATCAAGCTTGCCATTCTGTCAACTGTCAATTCCTGGTTTAGGGCAAAATGACAAAGATTGAGGTCAGGATTGAGAGACATCTTTTCACATCTTTTCAAACACTCAGGGTCTAGTAGTTACAGAGAATATACGAACTAACCCATGTATGCCGTCCTGAGTCTAACCACAATGACTTAAGATAATACGGATCCTTTGGAATTTTTTGTTTTCTAGATATCTTCACCACCATAGTCTGTGGAACGGCTGTGAGGAAAAGGGTCGAGAGGAAAAGAGACGAATAAAAGCACCAGGCAGAGCAACCTTGCACAATGACAAATCATCGCCTTTGCCATTTGGCTATTCTGTTGGCTGCTGCTGAGGTTGTGCTGAATCAATTGGAACATTGCAAGTGGGTGTGTGTGTTAAGTTTGCCTTTATTTTTATACCTGATTGTTGTTGTCCAGTGCATCACATTATATCCTAGTCCAGGAATGCTTTCCAAAACTAGCTTCTTTCTCACCCCCGATTTATTACATCATTGCACTGGAAAATGGATACCCGTTCCAAACGTAGATCCGGCGTGTGAAAAAGAAAACGAGCGAGGGTGGGAGTGGATTGAATGGCAAAACATACATACCCCTCCATTTGAGAAGAGCAATGACCCATGGTAGGTATCAGGAAGAAGTGGGAACGTTGATATTTTGGAGTAAATCACCACAAGCAAACGAGGAGAAAAGTGTGGAGAGAAAAAAGTAGGGGGAAAAGACAAAAAACAAAAAATAATATATACATTCCCATAGAGACTGTAAATATCATAACTTTCTGTCTACTAATAAACTATCCACGAGGAAAACGGGTTGAGAAAAGAGAAGAAACACCAAAAATGAGGGGACAGACATACATAACACTGCATAGCGTGCCTCATAAAAGCATCACATTTTTCCGTCGAAAAGTCAAGTGTGCCCCCCCATCAAATCATAAGCATGTCCCATCCATGTGGCAATAGAGGTCAATCTTGTAGATAGGATGGATATATACGACATCATATATATATCTATCAATGGCGCTGGACGCAATCCCATTCATACTGTTTTAAGATGACCATCAACTTGCTGCGCCATGCGCCAGGAAAATTCCGTAGAAATGAGATTGAAAATTAAACTTACCACCCGCCCTAGCTCATCTCCGGTGTAAACGCTCTGTGCCAGCGGCAAAATACAACTGATACCCGCAGAAACGTTGCTGGCCCAGTCTCCCCGCGTGTTGTCTACATGGTGTAGCTGACGGATTAGATCGAGTTCGAATCGGCCGTTCCGAATCGTTTTACTCCAGATCTAATAGAAGTCATGAGTAATGTGGAGGGGAAAAACAGATGACGGAGATGTGAAATGTAGGCACAACTCAAAGCTCCAACTGCAATAAAAACTTACATTTACGAGTCCGCGCTTGTGTCCTGTGAATAATAGCTCTCGTTCCAGCCATTCATTGCTAACACCCTCGTAAAAAGCGCACGATAGTATGCTGTCATCAGTATGTTCGCATACAGCTTGGTCAACCAGCAATGCCCCGTTTAGAGTGTATAGACTAATGCGATTCCCACGACAGACGAGGATATTCCCGGTTGCATCGTTGATACGGGCACACTATTTCATCGGTTGGTCAGATAAACCCACTGACATATGGAGATTTGAATGGAATTAGACAAACTTACATCCACAGGTTCTCCGTCGGGTAACGACCGCACAAATTCCAAACGATTCAGATCCCAGAGCATTATCTTTCCATCCTTTGACGCTGACAATACAGTGCTAAAGGACCTGGAGACTGCAAGAGTAGTAACCAGCGATCTGTGACCAAATAAGGTAGCCTTCGGATGGAGATCTGCGGTTTTGGATGTCGATGTGAATGACCAGACTGAGACTGTGCAATCGGTCCCGGAGGTGATTAGCGTTTGAGAATCAGCAAACAAGGCTCCAGACAATTGTCCGATATGGAGGTGCTCAAAATGGCCAATCAACTTGTGAGTGATGAGAACAAAAATATTAGCTGAGAGTTTTTCAAGAGGAAAATAGGATTTCAAAAGAAATATACATACCTTCCCGGTGTCGGCTGCATAAAACCTAACGCTACCATCGGCAAATCCCCACTCGATATACTTGTCATAATTGGGAGGAATATTAAGCCTGAAGGCAGCTGAACAGAGCAGACGATCTTGCTTACTTGAGAAGAGCAGCGATGCTACACGCTCCTGGCTGTCTCGAAGGATGTTAGCCCCGTTAGCAGCATCTTAATCGCTTCATTGGCTTACCGAGCAATGTGAAGGGCAAGCGCGTTAGCGACGGTGCCGCCGTATCTAATCGCTTTTGCTTGTGGGACACCTCCTCCCTTTGTTGGTGCGGTTTCTGGAAGGCCTGGTGAGGCGTTTGTCCGAAATTATGGATGATACCTATGGTTGCAAGCCTTTCAACAGGATCATCAATGTTGTCCAAATCTTTAGCTCCCTGGTAAGACAAATGGTGAAAAACATTTACGGCCTCAACGGCGGCTTCGCCTTTTTGTTTATAACCGAAAACCAAATCAATCCATTGGTGAAGATTCTTCGTCACGTATGGGCTTTCAAGCGCCTCCCGATGTTTAGCAATGAATATTCTTGGGTCTCCCTTAGCCCATGGAGGTAATTCGACATTATCTATTGATTGAGACTTGTTTTGTCTTAATCCGAAATTATACTTGTTGGAGTTTACCAAGAATTCAGGGAGATAGAAGAATTCAGGGATCAGCTCCCTGACATCAGTCATGGTGACACTAGATGCCGATTCCCATGCCTTGGATATGGAATAAAATAGCCTATCAGCATGGTCAAATGTCCCCCCTTGCAAGAGGAGGTAAGATTGTACGAATGGCTGAAGACGTATGAGGTATGAGGTTACGATCATAGCGGAGGAATAATGCGTCCCATAATGAAATGGTGGCGCGTTATGATCACCCATTTCAGCGAATGATTGGTATCGGCTCCTATATTCCGCCTCTCGTTCTGGGGTCTGGCACCCCATCGGTTTAGACAGATCACGGAACGTCTTTGGATTTGTCAGATCAAGTTCGTCACTTGTATAGTCAGCAAGCACCCAAGGGAACACGGGATACTGTGTTAGATCATTGAACGTCCGTCCGGCCATGGTATTAACGAACATCAAGTAATGGAAATTGGACATTTTACCCTTGATCCATTTTCGCGTAGCTGGATTGGTAGGATTCTGGTTAAACACGTTGGCAATCTTCGATCTGAGAAACTGAGGATAATCTTCCTGATTGCGCAAGGCCTCAAACCTCCACATTTCTTCATTTTGTGATGCATTTCCGGGTCCACTTATTTGGGGCGCACGAGATGAAAGGTGGTGATATAACTCATCCCGAAGTGTAGGGGACACTAACGTTAGCAGGTAGCTTCGACCGTCTGCAAAGAAAATCTCCAGTGCAACGTCCCGGAATAAAAACCGCCGTTTCGACACACTTATGACCTCTGACCACTTCCAACTCCTTGTTTCATGTTCCCCATTATTTACCCGGCGGTCATCAGATTCGTGTCCGGAAATCATGCGAACGTACGGATCCCGCTCTTCAGGAGGCGCTTGCCAAACGCTAACAACCTCTCCGTCGGCCCGCTGGAAGAAATTGTCCAAGATATACACAGAGTCTTTCCCGAGAATTAGAAGCCCCTCGCACGCCTCCAGCCCGACAATCCTAGAGATATTACAAACGTGCTGAACTTGGTCTCCGCGGTGGAGACTTCTCATTACCTTCCTATTCTTATCTTCATACTCGTCTTGCCAATCCATAGGATCCTCGATCATTTCGAAGCTGCCTTCAAGGCCAAATCTATCATCGGGGTCGTTCGCCTGAGGTTCAACTTGAGGTTCAGTCTCAACAGGATCAGCTACCATAGAGGTAAGGGAGGTGTTGAGCATGTCATTTTCAACAACCCGGCCTCGCGTGTTGTCAACTCGAATGCTAGGCGGCTCTTGAGATGTTCTGCGTTTCGGTTGGTAATTCTGACCACCAACAGTGTCATCTGGAGTAATTCGTAGTCTCATTCTATTCCTGCCTTCGGTCTGGTCAAGACGCCACTTGGTTTCCTTCATTCCAATCAGAATTCCGTTATCTCGCCTCAAATCACGATACATTTTTGCAAACGCAGAAGATAAGAATGTGAAGCTGTCTTGTTGATCTTGGAATGATCGCTGAAGCTTGAGGTGCTCAGAGGAAAAGATGTTAGATGTCCAATGATCAAAAGTAGTATCATGTTTCCGGATAACTTCTTCCTGGGCCAGATCAGCTTGATTCCACTGTTTCAGCTTATCTCTCCTCTTTGAAAGTCGCGACCACGCACGTTCCTCGGTTTTGCTGTTTTCGTCCCGAACAAAAGTTTCCCAATTTTTAGCCATAGCTCCAAAGAAAAACGAATCAAGATCTTCACGCTGGTCATCAACCCAACGCAGGAAGCTGATGTCATCTAAACCAACGAGCTTTTGGAACCCGGAAGACAACCGTTTACGGAGGGAGGAACTTGCATAATTCAGGAGAACAGACATCTCTGAAGGTTTCTGAACCAAGAAAGTTCGCCACAAGTTCGCGGCGGCCAGTCGAATGTCTTCGTTATCGGTGACCAATTTGGCGTAGAGCTGGTAGCATATTAATGGAAAACATTCTGCTTGGGGTTCCTCGGCTGGCAGAACGATTGTTTGCCAATAGGCGAGCATTTTGAGAAAGGAGAGCGTGTCTGAGTTGTCTGCCACAGAGAATCGAAGCAACACCGTACGCGACACGGCTGATCGGATAGAAGAGATTGCTTGGCTACAGAGCCGAATACTTTTCATACAAGCGACCTCGGGAAGCTGTAGATACTCGAGAATCGGCCCCGATAAGTCAATGATGGAAATTGCACCCTCCATAAACCAGCCCTCATAAAGAGTTTCCACGAGGTGTGTTAGAAGTTTAGAGAGATTGGTTAGAACGCGGGGTTCCCATAGTAGTTTGCGATTCAGTAGAATTGTATTTTTCAATTGAGACAGGACATTCCGAAGAACCCATGACTCGAAATATGTTTGATGTTCAACAAATCCGGGAGGAATAGTCGAGTGGAGCGCTAACTCAGTAAAGTCCTTCCTGGTGAGTATTTGGTCAATGAAAACAGCCGCAACCAGTTCTAGGACTCCTTCCACAATAGAATGAGTGGGCGGATGATTTATGTTTTCAGAATTAGCTGCAACAGCATGGCTAAGTCGCGCTAAGGATGGGGCGTGCTGAGATTTATCAGACGAGACAAGGATAAAGGAGGACCCCCGTTTAAGGCCATTACCACCCTCTTGCGACTCCGAATGTTCTACAGTCGTGGTGCGTAGAACGGGACGTGCATGTAACAGAGGGCGGATAACCATCTCGTTCGCACCAAATGTGAGGCCAGAAGATCGCGAAGTTAGCTCTACATCAGCACTAACCGTATCTGAGCCAACGACAACGGGGAATAGAAGGAAAAGTAGCTCTTGCACATAAGTAGAAGACACGGTAAAGTCACGAAAGTGTTTAGATTTGACATGAACATCGGCAAGAAAGCCAATGACCGTGTTTAGTAGTTCAATATTTGGCTTGGAAGACGCGTTTATCGTGGTCGCATCTAGAAGGAAGTTTAGTTAGATGGGAAAAGTTTATCGCAACATGCGATCTGCGACAAAAAAGAGACTAGGAAAGAGGAGCTCAAGAAACTAACCCGGTGGTGATGTGCTTGACATCGAGCGCCTATCTACACGATTTCGAGTGGGGAGCTCAATCACACCTTCGGTTTCAGGAGATTCACTCTCCTTAGCAACCGTCACCTTGAGACCGGTTTCGAGCATTCCCATAATCACAGGAAGAATCTCCGGATATATAACCCTTAACTCCTCAGTCTCCCCAGTGGAGTTAAACAAATCCAGAAATCCGAAGTGGTCAAACGGCCGGTCGAGGTCCAATTGGCCAACATCTTTTCCGAACAATATAGCAAAGCAAATAGGCCACAACGCAGGAATATACCACCAGCGCTTCAGGCGACGACGCATGATGACGAATCCACCCGATTTGTCGGCAAATTTCCTTGTATAACTACTTCCATGTGTGACCAGTAACCTAGCCAGAATAGTGAGGGCCAGCACCACGACTTCAGGGTTATCTTCTAAGATTAGGTAGAGCAACCACTGCAGAAAGACGTCAGTAAAACAAACAAAAGAATAACAACTATGAGAAAAATCCAAATGCAAAAGCTAACCTTGTTCGTCACCGTTCTGGCAAATTTTGCAATGTTTGCAGTTCCACTCTCTTTACAGATAATGTTGGCGTAAGCTTTTAAGACTTCAATTCCTATTTCAGATTCGGAGAGGTATGTTCTGTCTGGATGGTGGAAGAGGGCAAACCCGGGCCGCTTAGTGCGGGGATCGAAGCGCATGCTTTTCCTCTTCTGCAAGCTCGTCGACGGTTTCGCAGCATGGATAGAATAGGTGATGAACAGCGCCAGGGATCTGAGAATTTCCGCCGACATGCAGGATTTTACGAGGCAGCTAAATGCTGGAATAAATAGTTTCATGGATTCCGAGGTGAAACTCTCTCCTTTCAGGGCATCTAGCAGTTTCTTGACGACACCTGGAAATAATGTTAGTTTCAATCGAGATAGGTTTCGAGTAGTGACAGGGCTCATACGCATTCGAGATAGTCGCTTAGTATTAAATCGGTGGTTGTGGCACTCAGCAGAGAACGTGATGAATTGGGAATAGTATATCTCGAGCAGAGGTAGATTCCCATACCTCCAGACGTCTAAATCAACAAGAAGGACCCGATAGGCTAAGGGGTTAGTAATAATCGATATCTTGGGATTCTGAAAGTCATAGCCAACAAATTTCAGAATTAATAGGAGAATTTCCATTGCTAATCCATTGTGCTGCTCGGGGGTTGAAAAAGCAGCGGTCGGCTTTGAAAGAGCATTCTGAATGTGATTGGAAAGGCCAAGCTTTTCACGAAGTAAAACGGCAAGTATGCTGTAGCCATTCTCCCTCTCCATTGCCTCACTATTTCTCCAATTGTCTTGAACCGCTTCGAACAGAGTTTCCACGGCAGTGCAAGTGCTCTCTGGAGTGGTAGCTGCTTCGATCAGACTGAGATGTGGCGCAGCGCATCCACCAATCTGCCAGCTCGCATCGTCTAAGGCTTGAGGAACGGCTACAACCGGATCGCCGGTCAAAATGGCAACCCCATGGGCTTGGGTTAGGGCATCGTTAATCGCAGGAACAGCCCCATTGATTGCGACAGCATTTCCACCTGCTTTAGTGAGATGGTTTAAATTTCTGGCAGCTTGCTTTGATAAGGACTTTATAAGCTGAGATTCATCAACGTTATTGCTATCATCATCATCGAGAACGGTCATGGGTGATATGTTTAGTAAAACAGAATTTTCCGGAATCAGGGTACTTGCTTTCCGCCGGATAACAGTGACGATATCCGAGTTCTCCTCCTTTCCAGGATGGAGATTCTCATTGCGTAGATTCAATTGAGCAGATGCTTTGTAAGTTTGGAACGATCCCAAGCAGTCCTGGAAATTGCCATGGTATCGTGGTCCCAAATGGCAGAAAACAGCTATGATGTCGTCGGAAAATGCCTCATCAAATAGAATGGCAGATGCCAAGGACCACCGTGACGTTGATACCCCTTTCCCAAGCCGAGCCGCCAAGTCCTCCGGGGTACCTAGAAATGCCTGGACACGAGGCATCCTGTGCGCCGCAGACTTAGGCGGACTTGATGGGTACTCAGGTTTTAACTGTTCTACAAACTCTCCATTGACAAAGAGTGATGCCCGGGATGAGGAGGTAGGTCGAGGTCTTTTGTGAACAATACATATGTGGTACCATTGACCAGGAGAAAACACCACAGATTTGAAGCGAACACTTGGACGAGCACCCTTCATCGAAGTTTGGAGGATAAAGTTATGGGTATCCTTTTCAAGATACGCGAGAACAAAACAAGATTGACTAGCATCAAACGCTCCAAATATAGTTGTATGCGCATTTGGGTCAAAGTTGTCAAATCGTGCCCACAGGGCAAGAGAATATCCCGAGGAGTGGGTGGGTGGAAACGTCCTTCCTAGCGTTGGCAACTCAACGGATGAATAGCCATGCCTCGATAGATCAAAATGAATGCACGCAGGGTTCTTGGATGATTTAACGGCAGCGAGCAGAAATTTAGAGACATCAGGGGAGCCATGAGCCGCGCGATAAAGGTGCGCAGCATCTTCTAAATCATTGACACCTTCAGAACATAAGATGCCAGCGAGTTCACAATACAGATCCCTTCCTTGCCCAACTCTTTTTGAATTTGTAATGATTGGGAGTAAGGAGGTAAGTATTCCCGTGGAATGAAGTGCTAGTAAGTTGCGCCGGGATTGCGAGGCTAAATGTATCAGGCATGCTGGAATGGCCAATCGTTGTATGGAGAATCCTGGAAGATATGAAGACTGGGCCAACCACAGATGCAAAAGAGGACCCACGAATTCGCCATTTTCAACTGTTTCTGCTGTTCCTAGAGTTTTGCTAACGGCTTCCTGCACTGCGGAAGAGTTGGAAGAATAATTGTTTTGTCCAACTTTTTTCCTTATCACACTGAAGAAATCAGCGAACACTTCTTGCCCCAGAGCCGCAGCTAGAAGCCCGCCATAGAATTGCTCGACATCGGTAGCATCGGCAACGACTCCTTCAGTGTCGAGTTCCAGCTTCTTAGATAATGGCGACAAGCTGCTCTCTAGGAGCACAACACCCCCACCGTCGATCTTTTTGGCGAAATATCTCTTGTTGCCCGGATGGTCTTTCAAGCTTTCAGCCAGCACGCCATGTATGTCTTTGACGAGAACCAAAAGACTCTTTCGATCCTCCTTCAACAAAGTAGAGGGGTCATATATATCTCCAATCAACCGTAGAAACCGGAGTAAGGTCTGGAATCCCGACAGCTGGTGAAAAGTGTCCTTTGCGATCCGTGTGTTCTCATCGTCGATGAAGGTGTGACGCAACCGTAGGAGCCCCTCAGTGGCACCCAGAGCATCATGAACAGATGGATGTTGCTTGTTACATATATCGATCAGGGAGTCAATGACAGGCTTCAGATCGTTCACCAAGCGTTGTGAGGTTAATGATGGCGGGGACGAGGGACGCCGTGAGCGGGAAGGGGCGCTATTCATAGTTCCTCCGCGGAACTTTGACGCTGCATATTTCAGATTATTAAGAGATTAGACAAGGACAGTTACAGACTTGGGCCATTAAGAGTGTATAGTATCTACCAGAGACAAAGAGAGTTCAAGTCATATGTGGGTATTTAGTAAGTAGGGGTCAAGCCGATCCCCCTCCACTGTGAGACGACTCGATTGCCAACGTGTTTCAACCATTAGAGATTCAATTCCAATGGGGCATTAGGTAATAATAATCAAAGATGGAGTTGTCTGGCTCATGAAAAACAGAAGGCTACCTCTTGGTGCGCAATTACGGGGTTAGAGAAATCAGTCAGCATGCAATTAGTAGATCTCAGCCCTGCCCGCTTGGTTGGAGATATCTCGCGTGAGATGAGATGAACCACTTACAATCAAATATTTCCCTTTACAGCATCTGGCTTTTGAGCGAAACAACGCGTGACAAAGCCCTAAGTACCTCACTAGCCACAAAATGATCACGTGATCAAGGGGATCCAAAGCGGACCTTATGATGTTGGGACGTCTCAAGTTGGTTGAATTGGTAGCTATTTCGGGTATGCTATATACTACTGTGCGGTGCATGTAATAGGAAGCCTAGGCTCCAACATATGAATGTAGGAAGTGTGTTGACTCAATATGTAATGTCTTGTGTGGACCAGATACTATTCTACGTAAGTCATTGATCCCATGCCAGAGCCGGGCCGGATCGGGGGAGGTTGCCTTGGCGTTTGAGCCCAGGGAGAAACGACCAAGAAAGAAAGAAAAAAAAGAATAAAATTAAAAAACACACTTGGAAACTTTAATTACCTGCCTGATTGTTCAGGCGGAAGAGTAACTATTTTGGTTGACTTCCGCTAAATATATAGGGGGGGGCCGCTAAGACTACTTGAGGGCCGATTACTCGTTGAAGTGCTAGTGTTTCGTAATATTACATGCGGATACAGCGACGGGTGTCTTCCACGCCTTGTACCTCTGCGGCTGGCCCATGACAGAAAGGAACACGCACGGGATGACGCAGGCTCTGACAGGCGTACTGTTCGTGTACCGCCTGGTAACCAGGCAGCTTCCGTGTGACCCAGGCATTTCCGGCCCCCTGGAAGCCCGCGCAATGCCCATACAGCGCCGCAAGAGTGGGTCAGGTGCAGCTGACTAACCTGGCTTTCCCCATAATAGTTAATGGTTGCATCATCCACCTAACTCAACCACCAGCTCAACCAGACGTCTCACTCTCTTCCCTCTCATCAACCGCCAGCCAGCCAGCCTATCGTCAACCTCCTGTTTCCCCCATCTCGCACTTCCTTTCCTTCAGAACCTCTCCTCATCTCTGTGGCCGCTGTATTACCTCGTATACTCAAATCTTTTTCACTAGCTTTTCCACTCGTTTCCTGATTTCCTTTCTTCCATCATGAAAGGCCTCTTCGCCTTGTTCGTCCCGTTACTGGTGACTGCATCGCCAATGGTGGTTGACTCCATCCACAATGATGCTGCCCCCATCCTATCTTCGGTGAATGCCAAAGAAATCCCAGACTCATATATTATTGTTTTCAAGAAACACGTCAACTCTGCTTCTGTAGCTGCCCATCAGAGCTGGGTGCAGGATCTCCACACAACCGCCATGGCCAAGAGATCAAACCTCAGCAAACGCAACCAGTTTCCACTCAAGAATGATATCTTCTCTGGTCTAAAACATACCTACAATATTTCTGGCTCGTTCCTAGGGTACTCCGGTAATTTCGATGAGGAGGTTGTTGAGCAAATCCGCCGGCATCCAGATGTGAGTTCACCCCAATGTTTAGTTGGTTCTTGGCAGGCTCGCGACTCTAACCCTGTTTCTGCTTGCCTAGGTCGATTATATCGAGAAAGACGCAGAGGTCCACACCATGGAAGAAGAACCTGAAATGCAGCATAATTCTCCCTGGGGCTTGGCCAGAATCTCACATCGAGAAATGAATTTTTCAACATTCAACAAATACCTGTATGCCGCTGGAGGTGGTAGTTATGTCGATGTCTATGTCGTTGATACTGGTACCAATACCTACCATGTCGATTTCGAGAACCGGGCATCATGGGGAACGACTATCCCAACTGGCGATGGGGATGAAGATGGAAACGGCCATGGAACACATTGCTCTGGAACAGTCGCAGGCAAGAAGTATGGTGTTGCCAAGAATTCCAGCGTCATCGCCGTCAAAGTTCTCACGTCCAGTGGCTCCGGAACCATTTCCGATGTCATTAAGGGTGTTGAATATGTTGCCACAAGCCATACCAAAAATGTCGAGGCCGCGAAGGCCGGCAAGAGAAACAAAAAAACCTTCAAGGGTAGCGTTGCCAACATGAGTTTGGGTGGTTCCAAGTCATACGCTTTAGATTACACTGTCAATGCTGCTGTTGATACTGGTGTCTACTTCGTTGTCGCTGCTGGCAATGACAACGCTGATGCCTGCAATTACTCCCCCGCAGCTGCTGAGAAGGCCATTACCGTTGCCGCCTCAACTCTTGCTGACGAGCGTGCTTTCTTCTCCAATTATGGCCCGTGCGTTGATATGTTTGCCCCGGGACTTAACATTATTTCCACCTGGATCGGCAGCAATTACGCCGTTAACACAATTTCTGGTACCTCCATGGCCTCTCCACACGTTGCTGGGCTAATGGCCTATTTCATTTCTCTCCAACCCATGTCTACATCCGCTTTCGCCGTTGACGTTCTCACTCCCGCTTCACTCAAGAACGTCATTGTCAAAATTGCCACCAAGGGTATGCTCAGCAATGTGCCAAGTGACACTCCTAACGTAAGTTAACTCCTGACTTATATTTAATGGTCATTCTCTTTAATTAACATTTTACACAGGTTCTTGCCTGGAATGGTGGTGGCTCTTCCAACTATAGCGACATCATTAGAAACGGCGAATGGAGTCCGAGGACCCTCAAAGATGAGGTCAATGACGTCATTGACAAGTTCGAGAAAGCTACTGATGAACTCCACGCTATCTACAGCGAGATCAAGAACGCTTTCATCTCTTAATCTCATGTTGGATATCAATGCGTGCAGAGATGATACCTAAGCCACATCCGCTTGATGTGGTGAAACGAATCGTAATAGTAGTAATTTTCACACGACGGTTGGGTACCTCGCGGGTGCATATATAGCTTTGATCTTTTTGTTCCCTTGTTCTTCCTGCAGTTTCTCCGTTGCGTTCTGTTTCACTCCACTTAAATCTCCTATGGGCCATCAGGTCTCGTTTCTATGTGGTTTTAACAACGCGGTTGAACTTTTACCTGTGTTTCTTGCCTTATTATGTGCCTCATTGCTGTTATCTTTATCTGAGAATAAACTTGTTAAAAATGCGGTCCTGAAGAAAATGGTTGTTGGTGGTGGTCACCACTAAAGCACCTATATTTACATCTTTCTGCTGCCAATACTACCTGCGCGAAATCTAGACATGAATGAGCATTTTATTGGTCCATATAGTAGGCCTTTCAGGTTCCTCTTCAAAGGTGTAGACTCACATATAAATTCCGTGGGTCGTAAATAATTAAGGTACTGGGCTCGTAGGAGAAAGGTTGTGAATTGTCTTACCTCTATGAAGCATATCAAGTGGGGACAATGAATGTGTTCATTCATACTTCCATCATCTGCAACTTTACGGATGATCAGCATCATAGAGTCTCTGGGAAAAAATACTTGTAGCCCTTCATTGCAGGATACACGAAATGTCCAACAGTCTCTATTTTGGATCGTATAGAAGTATCCACTTCCCGCACTCAAGCATAAACCATTTAAGAACCGTCTCTGTCAATAAATTCTGCTGGGCTGTTGCTAGCATGCCAGGACTTTCAGCCTATTACTAACTAGACAACATGTGTGTTCATGGTTTGGATCCACACCGGGACTTAAAGTGGCATCAAGACATATATACATATATATATATATATATATCCGCAAGTGACTCACTGCGATGGCTTCCTTGGTAGTTAGCTACCCAGCTTGGTAGAGCTATCGATAATACGCGAGATCGAATGTGGAAAAAAATAGTGAATATATATGGCTTTTGAACAATAACAGTAAGATAGGAATAAGCCCGCTGCAAGGTTCCATAAAAGTTCTGTGAAAGTAAAGAACGAACTATTGGATGCTTCCAAGCTCCATTCATCGAAAGAAATAACCAAGGGACCCACAAACCCAGAACTCTGAACTCAGCATTCCTTCTTTTTTCCCTTTGTCAGACAAAACTTTCGGGGTTGATGGAATAATAGGTTCTTCCCTGCTAACCTCAGCGGTGAAACCAGAGGAATGCAAGAGCTCTGAAAATGGGTCCGGGAAGTCGGGGAGCTGCTGAAAAAAAGGGATGCAACACCTGCGAATAAAGGCTGCAAAACTCTTGACGGGGGTCATTATTAATTCGTCGGACTGCCGTAAGGTCCGACCATTCAGATTTTAGGCTCCGTCGAGTGAGTGCTCTTGACAAATTGTGAAGCTGTCCGGACTGTAAAGGGCCCTCAGGGCCGTAGAAGACAGCAGTATCTAGAGATCGGATCGTTGCATTCGCTCTGATTTGGGGTGAGAATCGTGCCTCACTGTTAGCAACCCGACTCACCCGCTAAACTATAGTTAACTAATGCAATTCAAGTTCTTACAATCGCCCTAAGCAGGTTTAATAATTCAGATGGAACGTCAAAGAGCATGTATTATCTGCAACGAATTGCAAGCATAACAAGGGCTGTACTGTACAACACATTTTCCATCAAGCAGATCATATAGCAGCAGTAGCATCCGCGCCCCCCCTCCAGCATAAACAGCATCAAGCTAAAAAGTCCAGCATAAACAGAACTAACAATAAAAGTACAGGCAAAGTGTGCAACATAAATCACAGAAATCTATCTCATTTATCATTAAACATTATATCAACAAGAGAACATGAAAAAGGGGGGCATTGAAAAAAAAAAAAAAAAAATGAAATAGAAAGGATCTAAGATCTAAGATGTCTTCTTCCCACCATCTTGATACTCCAATTCCCGGTCCACCTCCGCCTCTATCTCTTCTACTTCCTCTTCATCGTCGTCTTCCGCTTCATCTTCCGTACTACTATCTCTCCCACCTACCGGATGCGGATTCTCATCGTCGGCAGTCTTACCCAGAATCCCAAGTTGATTTTTCCGCTCGAAGTCCTGCGCATGTGCCATTGCAAGCATTGTACCTACACGCGTCAACGTTCGCGCAATGTCGGGAGCATAGGACGCCTTGCGTTGTCGAATAGAACCATTTTCGACGCCATTCTCCACATCAAAACCTGTCGCAGCTTGTTGCTCACTCGGGACGTTTTCTTGTTGGACGGCATTAGACTGTTGTTCAGGTACCTCGCCAAGTGACGGCCCGGATGGGGTCTGGATAACATATGGTAGCGGGACATCTCGTGAGGCACGGAATCTGGCGACGTTGGTGCAGTGTTCGTTCTCCACACGAAATATTGACCACATTCCTCGTCGACATACTTCGGAGAATGAGATGATGAAACTTATAAAGGCTGAATGTTGAAACCCATGCGTGAATGAGGCGTACAAGATCCAGTTGAATCGGAGGACCGGGTCGATGATCATTGCTAGGTAGTATACCCAGCGGCGTCGGAAACCAAGAGACTTTCGGAGAAAGCTGTGCTTGGCGTAGGGGTTCCCTAGACTCCAGTCCATGGCCACATCCCACGTAGAACTGTATATGGCATTGATACAGGCGCATGTGATGAAGAGGGCTCGAAGACCCTTTGAGTTGTTGATCCGGTAGAGGTTCAGGGTCGTGTAGTAGAGGATTGAAAACGTGTATTTCCCAAGGTTTACAATATGGGGGAATACATTTGTAGTATCCCGATAACGTCGTAGACACTGAAGGGAACGCCAAATAGACGGGAGTGTCGAGAGGAGGCCCATCACTCGTGAATGGGATGAATTACACTTTGGTGCGTTATCCCATCCATTGATGTATAAGCAGAATAAGAGTGCGACGTTCTATGACGTCCGTTAGTTTTTCTTTGTTGCTTCGTTCATGTTATATGTTGATTCTGGAAATGCTTACACTCATGGCATAGGTCTGGGAGCAGTACATATCTCCTAGGAAAAAATCTCGGAACTCAACAGGGTAGAGACCCGCGAGCAACAGCCGCCACTTTTGAAACATCAGAATATTTCGAGTTTGATGGGAATGGAGTGTAGAGTACATACGTTTGAATAGGCCCACCATCTCCTACTTCGATGGTAGAGGATGCGAGCAGGAAGAAGCAAGATGACAACGGTGAGAGTTATCAAAAGGACAGGCCAGTATATGTACATTACATTTACCCAGCGAAAATTGAGCCACATACATATCCCAAGTAACATAAAGAACAAGCAAGGTAGCTGTAACGCAGGTTAGAAATTGTCAGGGCCGTAGTGATATCAGGAATACAGGAAAAACATACCTCGGCCAGTTGACGCCAATCCAACGCATGTCGGGTATCGAATTCGAAAACGAAGGCATAGTTGATTTTAGACATTGACCAAATTTTGCAATCGAGACAGAAAAGAAGAAAATGAAACACCGCGAGGAAGAAACCACCATATATCTAAGCTTGAAAGTTAGTATATATCTTTTCCCAGCGGCAAATGTAACTTGGAAAGATACAAACCTGAAGCAAGTAACTAGTCCAAACACGGACCTCATCGTCCCCATGATACAACCGGTGCACAGCATAGGCAGCTCCGTGAAGACCGAAAACGATGCCTCCCGAAAGAGTCAAGCCATTGCGGAAAGAGCTTGAAGAATGATCGTAGGTTCTTGAAGATCTGCCACGAAGTTTGCTGATGGCGACCTTACGATTCCCCCTCTCGAAATAGCGCGCATAGAGATCTTCGACGGACACCATGTGATTTTCAACCACCTCACTCTGGACAAACCAAGACTTGTTGACCTTCTCGGAAACGTAGCGACCAGCTGGGCGGGTATTCGTAACTTTATCGTACTTTTTATTCATCTTGCGGAACGCTTTTCGGTTGAGGTCTGCGTAGGCCTTGAGAAGTTCGAGTCCACGGTAGAACTCTATCAAAGCAACTTTTAGTTTCCTTTTAGCTGAACGATATGAAACTTCGTTTAAATCTTGACGACGAACAAAATCTCGACAGCTGTCAGTAGCGCAGGGTCTTGGTGTTGGGCCAGAAGGTGTTGCGAGCTGTTGCATGGCATTGGAAGTTTTCCTCGAGCGGCCTTTCCCTATGGCACCCCCCAACGGCGTCTTCCAATTTCCGACGGAAGAACACTTGGTTGGAGAGGCTACCGCACCAAGGGAACTTTTTGCGTTCCCATTCCGCCTGCTGACTCTGATCTCCTCGATCCTAGTATCTCTCATGAGATGGAGTTGCATTCTCAACGTCGCGAGCCGCTCCGTTGCCTCTTTCTCCTTCAACAGGTAAAATGATTCAATTTTAGCCAGCTCTATATCCATAAAAGCAAAAAACTCCGATTCTCTATATTTTAGAACTATCAATTCGTCTGCGAAGCCGTTGTTTATGTTAGTTTCGCGATGAGACTTGGGTATAAACACGCTTTTCAAACGTGACTTTTGTTGATCGAATATTCGTGCAGGTACGGAATGGCGCCGGGGCCAGAGTACAGATTTTTTAGTCGGAGTGGTGACTGGAGCAACATCTTCGCTTCGTATTTTCGATAATCCTGAGTTATTGATATTGACATCTTCCGAGCTTCGGGACTGGCCAACCACGCCACTGGTCCAAGCGCCACTCTGGTGGGGAGAGAGGGGGGGTGAATCCGGTTGCCCGGGATCCAAGGCGGGATCTGGAAGTTCAAGAGATGGTGGAATAGACGGGGTTGCATCCCGTGATGCTACAATGCTCCCGTAACTTCCAGCTTGCTCTTTAAACCGTGTTGGAGACTGAAGTAGTTGTCTTTCAGGAATTCCAGCTCCTGTATGCTCAATCTTGTCATCACCTTCATATGATAGAGAAGAATCCGTCCTGTCTACGGCAGGGGAAGGTTCATGGATCCCAGGAATAGAAGCCCATCCATGCAGGTGGGAGGGCGGCTGCAAATGAGAATCGGGACTGGAATGTTCTTCACGGGAAAAGATCTGGCTAATCCGCCGGCGATTGACGGAAGGAGACTGCTCAGCATGGCGAACCGCCCGTGCAATTGCCTTTACTTTTATTTTGCCAGCCTAGAAAGCAGATAAGAGGGGCATTGTTAGCAAATTTGGCTGAACATTTCCATGTATATCACAGGACATAGGATGAAGTATGCTGACCTTGTAATTCAGGTATTTAGCCCTCCATTCAGGAACCAAATCCTCTTCCAGCTCTCTATAAAGAGCGATCAGCATAACTGCATACTTAAAACAAACACTGAGGACCCTTGCACCAAGTGATCACCATGACTTACTTAGCAAACTTCATTTTGCTGACAAAAGCAACTTTTAGCCAGCAGAACTAGCAAAATACATTGAAAATGATAAAGAAGCACAATATGAAAGAAGACCAACGTTGGGTAACAGGTGTAATATCATGATGCGGTAATGACAGTGGGGTTATTATTCTTCTTATTAATTTATCCAACAACTCACAGCAACGATATAAATAACTCAATATCTCCTAACAAAAAACTGCAAAAAGTGGTAGCTTTCTAGAGATTCACATGGCAGATCACCTGACCTCTGGCTATTCCAAAGGAGGCTAGTCCCATGCATGTCCCAGAGAGCCACGCGGATTCAAGGGTCAAAACATTTTATCTGACTGGACCATGGACCCGTCAACCACGAGAGAACCAGGAGAAGATCTTCAGGCCTCGCTAGAAACAAACCACACAAAGGCCTTTAAACGGGCCCGACGGATTAGCATCGGACCCACCCATGTTATGGGTTTCCCATGGACTGAAGCTCATGCGCAATACGGAGTAGAACTCGCATTGATCTGGTTCAAAAACTCCGCTTCTTTCATCTCCGCTTGCCTCAACTGGGTGCTGTTTTCCCTATCATTAACAATGACAGGTTGGACAACCCATAAGAGGGCATTTGGTGTCCCCCACATGCTACCTGCAGAGGCTGCTGCCGTGCATAATTGTGCAATCTTTTTTTAATTCTTTGTTGATTCAGAGGTCTGTGCAATGATTCCATCGGGGAGACCCAGTTGACTCACAGACCTCCTCACTTGTATCAATTACAGCTGGGAAGCAGTTTTCCGACTGCCAAAGGTGCCTCCGTGATTCCTAAACGAGGCTGCATCTGGATCCTATTGACATGCGAAAACACCCGTGTTTCCCGTCCAAGGTGGAACCATACGCACACCGTGCGACTGTTGCCATCCTTGGAGCGAATCATTTTGATCAAATGATTTGCTTCCGTTTCGTCGGGTTTGGAGTCGCTGCAGCCCTGGTTCCAATAATAATATACTTATGGTCCTGGTGTTTATGTGTAACCGCAACCTTATTTTGGGGTCTTGTGAGAGTAACTGGAACGCGATCATTCTTCGCGTCGCCCAATCCCTTCCACCTGGAATTGCTTAGAGACTGTTCATCTATGCTCAAAATCTCCATGCAGGGATACCCGGCACCAAAGTTCCGATTATCGACAATATGTTGAGAGATTCACCCTCGGTATTATTCTATCCAACAAGCTGGAAATCTGAACCTCCTATCAAGCTATCCCGAACTTTGAATTAGAAAATATACAACAAACTACTAGCTAATAAATCTAAAATTGATATTCTTTCAAATCGTACCATAAAATAATATAAATTCTCTTTTAAAATTAAAAGTAAACTAACTAACTAAATCTTCATAATATGTAGTTAATTAATCTAGTTGAAGATCTATATAAAATGCTAACACGAGTAATAATCTTGAAGAAACAAATCATAAGCTAGAAGAGAAAAAACATCTTCTAATACCTTGAAATAGAAAACAATACCATCTAAAATTATACTAGTGGCTAATGGAGATTTTCACATAATCTTTTAATAAACAACATTTTTTTAAAAAAATTGTGCGTTTTTACTACCAATGATATAAAAATATCATTAAAAAAAATGAGTCATATAATTAAATTTTGCCTTTGATAATGCATAAAAATTAATAGTACCATAGAAGATATAATTATTACAGATAATAGGTTAAATAAAAATTTTAATGAAGTATGTAAAAAAAGTAAAAACTAGCTCTAACTTTATTACTTGAATCAAATAAATCTATTGATAAAAATAAAAGTGGCAATATACATACAAAACAGTAAAATACCTAGTAAAGAAATTGTCAATAACAATGCTTTTAAAAAATAATATTATTATTCCAAAAGATAAATTTTTTTTTGACGTATACATCTTCAATTAGATACTAATGCAATAAATATTATAATAGCTGTTAATAAAGTAAAATGTATAGATATATCTATGCCTAAATATATATTAAAATACTTAATTTGATAAAGCCTGTCAAGCCCATTCTGAACTTTGAATCTGAAGGGAGAATCTAAGCCTCTGTTATTTTTATCCGCATGACTCAGGATCTCTTTCACTCAATGAAAACCTCCCCCCTACTTTTGTTGGAAATTGGCTAAGTTATTCTGCCCTACGCATGGAGGGCGACTTGTTGATCTGGGATCATCACGTATATGGACGATGATGCAATGGCTAAGAGCACCAGGTGGCCACCCCAGGAACCATGCACATTAAGCTCCTATATTGTCATTACAAAGGGGTTCCCCAAGGCCAGATTGTAACAACTAAACAATTGGTAACTGCCCAAAAGGTAGCTCCCAGCCTTACGATCTTGGATATTCAAGGTGCAGAGCCTGTCATCCCACATAAATAAAGGACCGCAGATTGGAAAAGTAAGTCTATTAACCTTCCAACATGGCAACTAGGTTATTCCCGTCCCTCTGTGAAGTCGAAGTCCAACATTGAAATCCGATGAGTAACTAGTTAGTTAAGCGAGGGTCTACCAATTTACTAACTATGTAGTTAGTTTAACTTCTCAGTAGTTAAACGAGTTAACACTTCTCTGCCCTTTGTGTCCAACAAGTCCATTGGCTCCAGCTCTGATGATGTTGAGCATTGAGAAACATTTGTTGTCACGGTTTTAATTTCGTGAATTTTAACAACGTTGACTTAATATAAGGCCTTGTGAAAGGAGCTGGGATACGAAAAGCAGTGGAATGCTGTTTGTTGCCTCAAGGACACTTCCATGAAACGTCTGAGTTCCCGTTAGTTATATGCTTCACAATATTTCATAAAACAAATATTGGTTGACAAAATCTACACAAAGTTTCTCTCAATTGTTGGGAAATAGGTTTTTACAAATATAATATCAAATTGATTCGTTAATATATATATAGATAGATATATAGATATTTATATTATATTCTCTATACCCTTAATCTATCCGCAATGCATCTCATTTTCACAGGTGCCACTGACCTCGTCGGATTCGGAGTTCTTAACCAGATGTTACCTTTGATCCCAGGGCGAACATCCAAATTGACAATCCTCAGCCGTGGACCTGCCGATATTGAAAAAGCTCGAAGGAGCCGAGGGCTGTGTGTGGGCCCAAAGGCATATCCCAATCACTGGTTGGTAAGGAAGTGAGCGTTTATTTCATCAGTGGGGTGGTTATATGAGAGACTCATTCTGCCGCTGATATGTCCTGCCAATATCAGCTACGTCGGAGGAAAAATATAATATTATATATGAAAGGACAGACCTGATTGATGTGTGATGTTTAGGGAGGACGTTAAGACCACCAAGGACTACCCTTCAGCCGCAGCTAACGCGTTCAGAACGATGGCTGATTCTTTGAAGCATACTTATATTTCAGGAAAGTTTCTATCTCCTATACGGATGATATTATCACCTGCTAATTTGCAATGTGAATAGATCAAGGTGTAAGTTTCAGTCACACCATTTATTGATATTATGGCGGATACTGGAATCACCTGGATGAAATCCTTGAGATCGGACCTCGCGTATTCACTAACTTCATACAATACAGTTAGGCTACAACAAAGCCAAGGCAAATTCACTCAAACCTTCGCCGCTGTCAAGGGCAAATGCGAAAAGGCTCTGCTTGATATGGCCAAAGCAAAACACATCTTTCAATCCCTATTCCCTCCGGCCAACCATGTTGATCCTAGCATGTAACGTTATTTGGTAGTGCACTAAGCAACAGCCAACCGCCAACCGCCAACCTCCAACTCCCACTCTCATATCGAGTGATGGAAGCGTTTGGTCCATTATATAGAACGTTTGCTCCAGCCCTTGTTCCACCGACACAGGAGATTGGCATTATCACTACGGCGCTGGCGATGGGCATTGAGAGGGCTTGGAAGGGTCAGGTGTATCCAAAGACGGGTGCATTTTTAGTAATGAAGCTATTAGGAGGATTGCTATAGAGAAACTTGGATTAAACTGATGTGTTATAACAGCTTTTTCATGTGTTTAAAGAGCCCTTTTTTTGGTGTGTTGTATTATTATCTGAATATCTCCCTGGAAATTGATTTTTGCATGCATACGTACTCCTAATATAATAACAGATAGGCACATTTTCTTCAATGTAAAGCTATCCTAATAGAAACTTGTTTTCTGGAATGATGTGCATTCATTGCAGCATAGATTCTAATTTTGAATGATCTCGAAAAACAATCCAATCTAGTTATATTTCGATCTCCACATATGAGCTTCACCACTAGTAACTTGAATTTTACCCACCGACAGTTATCTAAACACAGAAAAGTTTCCTACAGCTATTAACAAGCCAGGACGGACCATCCTTAGAAGTGAAAAATTCCCCTTAAAACCAAACTCCACCCTGCTCAACCCATTAGCACATACCAAAACCGCTTTACCCGCAAGCGTCATGCCCCCAATCCCCCAACCCTCTGCTTCCCCTCCTCTCTAACCCTCACCATACCTCCCACCAACCACGCGATCCACAAACGTTCTCTCCTGATCCTACACGGACTAGGTGACAAAAATTGCCCGTTCATTCCCTTCGTCTCCGCCCTCCTGTTACCTGAGACAACCTGAATTGCCCTAAAAGCGCCAACACCCTTTCCCCTTCGGCCTCCAGCCTACCACTGGGGCGACGATATCCTCTTCAATCCCGAGGCCCTGGACGCAGACCTAGGATTTCACGTGTGACTGGCAAGATTGTCCAGGAGCTAATTCTGTCTGTGCTGGTACGGAAACTTGCGTATCGGGGTAGAGATATTTTGATATTTGAGTATGTCCAGGGGGATAGTGTGGGATTAAGTGTTAGGTTGGAGGTTGGAAGGGTTGGGTTCGTTGATGATGGAGGGAATGGGGAGAGGGAGTTGGGAGGAATTGTGACAGTTGGAGGGATATTGCCTCTGCCAGCGACTAAGGAGGATGGGAAAGGCAAAGTGGAGACACTGGTGTTGTTGGTTGGGGCACAACGACCAGAGGATGCTATTACAGATGCGGGATTATGCAGGATGAAAGCGAATTTTGAGTATGTGAAGGTAGTGAAATGGAAGGGGAGGATGGGAGATGAAACGCCTAGCAACCGAGAGGAGATGTTTCCCATCACGCAGTTTTTGGTGAAGAGGTGGAGGAGTACTAGCGGAGTGCCGGATGGGAGTATAGAGATTAGTTGAATTCCATATTCTCCAGTTGTTATGCTTATTAGACCAACTTGTCCTCAGAATGGATCTATGTCTTTTCTCTCTTTTGGTGTCTCATAAGGGGAAAACCACATATGGTTTAAAATAAGTAAATAAATAAATAAACAAAAAAGGGAAACTATTTTACATCCGAGAGGGCTTGACGGGCTCTGTTGATTTGTTGCAGTGCTTCAGTTTCCGGAGCTGCTTCGATCGCCCGCCCACCTTCATAAATCACGGTACGGAGTGACTCCTCAGTGTCTTTCAAGGCGCGTCGGCCTTCTTCGCAGACCTCGCGCTCCCAGAAGCCTCGTGCCGCATCCCAGCCCTTCTGTTGTTGGCGCAGGGAGACGAAGAGTCCGATCGTCGCGATGGTGCCGGCTTCATATACCGAAGAGCTTAAAGAGGAAACATACACCAGGGCAGAAAGCGCGGAACTTAGTGCAGTGGTTGACACGCTGAACAAAACAAGTTTCTGTGCGAGGGCATGTAAAGAAGGGACACTTAGAGTGGAAAGTTGGTGCCGAATATCTGGAATCTGCGTGGGCCAAAGCTTCTCCTTGGGAAACGACGAGGATAACTTGGATTCTGGGGACTCCTGAACATCCAGCGTTGGATTCGCCTCGTGGTTCAACAGTCCTGCCTGATGGATTTTCCCACCAATCCAAATTACCCCGTTCTCGGCCTCTGGGAGCCATGCCGTCCGCAATATACGAGAAGTTATCACCCCCACGTCATCTACATGCCAAAATAACTTCCACCAAGAAAGAGTCCGCCACGGCTTACTCGCAAATGCCTGATTGAGAGTGTCTCGCAGTTCTGTATGCGCACGTTCCGCCCACGAGCTAACTGTTTCCTGCAAAGCCATTCGCACTTCTTCCGGGACAGTCTTAGATTCACGCACCAATTTTTGTTGGTGCTGGTCCCTAATGATGCTTTCCTCTGCTCCATCTAGAACTGATCCAACAAGCCTTCTAATTGAAGGATCGAGAGTCTCAGCCTTCGAAGGGGCCGACATCCATTCTATCAAAGGTTGAACCCCGCTCCCTAACCAGCCCTTCTCATACTCTGTTGCATTTTGGACAGATTTACGGAATGTATCCAATGCCGCCTCCGCACGGTCGATATTGACAAAAGAAATTCCTTCTTTTTCTTGAGTTGAACCTTTGTTCAAATTGAGTTCGAATGCAGCACGTATTGTTTCAGGTTCTTTGGTATTCGCACGTTCTACCAGCCTCATATATGCCAGTAATCCATCAATACCTTTCCCACAGACAATGCTCTTGTGCACAGGGTATCGGACCAAAGTATGAGCCCCCGTACTGGTCGACTGGATGGCAATGGTAGGAACGAGAAAAGTGCTACTTGTGATATGGCTATCCGCATTCAAACTCGCACCCAGGGGAGAAACGAGAATTTCCAGGTTGGCAGCTTTCAGTGCTATTGAGGGAACCGATATAGTTGGTACCAAGCTATAGTCAGCAGCGAGATCTGTTCGTTCGCCATACCTAAAAACGGTGTTATTAGTATTTCAAATCCACCCATCTCAAGGATGTTACTTAAGACGCCATACTTTATCAATAAGCCACGGGAAGTGTCCATCCGATATGTTTCCAGATAATTCTCCCATTCCTGCTTTGGACTCAACGGGTCAGCCAGGAGTAGTCGCACAAGCCTAGCCGTCGTAGACGTATTATCCAAACCAAGAACTGTTGCAGAGTCATGAATCAGCCCAGTCAGCCAAAGTCTGACATTATTAAACATAAAATGGACCGACAACCCTTCCTAACTGGCCATAAATGAGCTCCAGAACGTACCAGCGACCCGAATAACGGGCATCTCGGTTTCCAGTCCCCTTAAAGCCAATTGTAGCCTACTCGGGTTAACATGTGTTGCAGCAACATCATACACGCTGCGCAAGGCAGAATATAGCTCCTGAAACCGTTCCGGGATATTCCTCGTGACATTGATTGCGTGCGGAGCTGTGGATGGAGGAGCAAAGGTCGACGCGGAACGGCTTCGACAAGTAGGATTAAGATTTCGGTAGCGTGCGGAAGATGCCTGGGAGGAAATTGAGCGACGCCATGTTGAGCAGGAGGGACAGAAGAAAAAGGATTCTGTGTAGAGGATGGCCTGTATTGAAAGCGAGGGATGGAGTTTTGGTGGCATTTGGGGAAGAGGGAGTATGAAGGATTGGTTGTTTGTTGAATGTTGAAGAATGGCTCGGGATTTTGGGTGGTTGGTTGGTGGGTGTTTTCTTGGCATTCTGTCTCGAAGAGATGAACAATAGCAGATTATTCACTCAGACATAGCATGCTTTGAGGTTTCCCCCCCCCTACATTAAAATGAATGTACTCTGTACACGACTGTATATTGACAGTTAAATATCTAGATCAAACGCATAAAAGATTGACAGGACGAATTATATTTGCATCAAGACAGCCGAATTTCAGACAATATGGATACATAAACAGATATGATGGTTTTTGCACCTTATTCCGTTCTGCAGAAGATCTGTGAGTTTTATACAGTGCACATGCAATTGACATTTCATTGGCTTTTAGGGGCATACCTCAGGATAACAATCATGTACACTGGAATCGGAACACATGTACTAATTTTTCATACATCAGAAAAATCTGCTTTAGTGGGATAAGAACCAAGTAAATTTCAGGGGAAAATTTACATCGTGCAACATTAGGTTTGGGTGTATCATGCACATGCCAGTCATACTATGCAAAATCATCGGTCAGGGGGGTAAAGAAAACCAAAAGTGTGTAGAGGAAACTGTACATATATACAGGAAGGGAGATAGGGAGAGAGACGAAGATAAACAAAACACAGAGGATAATTTGCCCAAAGGCAGTATGCTGCATTTGATATCATCACAGGTGTTAATAATAATAAAACAAGACCCATGCCTTATTTTCAAAGTTGTCTCAAAAAGGTCATTATCTGAGAGAAAGGAAGACATTAGAAAAGGAACATAAGAAAAGAAGTGCACACATCTCTCAGAGACACAGCATATCCGTATAAGTTTTTCTTTCTCTTTTTCTTGCTCACCTCTTTCCAGATGACCAAAAACAAGCAAAACGTCTATCTCTGTGTAAGACAAGCTATGGAACCAGGGCATTAAACATGCAAATACATCGTGACGCGAGAGCTCAGTTAGCAAGGGGTTTGAAAAGCCGCAAAAAAAATAAATAAAAAATAAAAATAAAAATAAAACGACACCGATATCAGTTTGGAGTTTGTGGAGTTGTGGTTCTAAAACAAGAAAAGGGACGAGAGTTAGTTTCATCTACTGTTCCTGCTTGACACGACGGTTTTTACCGGACCCAGAAGACCTGTTGGTATTCTCCTTTAGCACCGTGCTGTTTTGCGTGTCACATATAATCGAACAGATAGAACTCACATGCTGATCCTTCGGGCCATGTTCGTCAAGCCAGCGTCGTTCTCTGCCTCTTGCGCAGCACGTTCCAATGCTTGTTTCCGCTCCTCTTCAGTTCTCTTCACCACCTCTTCGTGGGTGGGTGGAAGACGTTCGTTCTGTAGGTCGACCTTGCGAGCATCTTCGAAGTTATGGATGGCTTGCTTGATACCTTCCGCTCCGAGCATCAGTGTGCCAGCAGGGAGGCGGCCACCCGAGGCAGTTTTGAGTTCAGTAACTCTCTCTGATTCTTCACGTAGTACCTGGAAAACTCGAGAGAGACGGCCAATAGCCAGAATCTTGTTTTTGATAGCACGTCGTTTGAACTCAGTGCTCTCAGGATCCATTTGAAGGGCGGGCGATGCGGCGCCAGATATTGATGGTGATTCTTCCTCCAGCTCTTCTTTGGAACATGTGTTCAAAATGGCGATTAGCATGTCAGTGATTTTTTCGCCGACAAATGGGAGAGACCATGTGAAAACATCCATGAAATTCGGTAGCCAGTAAGGGTGGGGAGTGCAGTTAAACTGTCTGATGTTCATGACGTTGTTTTCGTATTTCAAGACTGCAGCTTTGTTATTGTAGACGTCGAGATAATTTGGTGCACTGAAGATCGTCATTACGCTGGGGAATCCAGTTGTTCGTGTTTTCCTATACATTCTGTAACCGGCATCTTGGGCCTCGTGAGCTCGAATAATGGATAGCAAATTATTTTTCTCCAGGAATGCGCAAGCAGCGGGATAAGAGAAGAAGTATGAGCATCCTCTAACGTTATTGTGCACAAAATACTCTCCTGTTTTTTCCTGGCCGAATTCCTCCAGCGGGTCAGCCCAAAGTATGTCGCACATTAGTCCTTGGGTAGGGGGTTCTCTGAAGCGGTCAATCTAGGCAAATGCCATTAGTTACAACATCACAAACACACAACACAAGGGATGATCTCCCACCGAACTTACTGATTTCAGATCTTCCAAAGTATGTAACTCTGGGCTTAGACCGCCATGAATGCAGAGGAATTGTTTGTTCATAATGGCAGCCAGTGGCAAAGCACAGAAAGATTCGGTACAGGCATCATAGACTTTCTCCGAGTACTTGTGCCTGCACTCTAGTTTGAATGTGAAATAGTCTGTGAGATGGCGACACTCATGATTCCCTCGCAATAACCATAGAGAGTTTGGATACCAAATTTTCAGAGCCCAGAGGTATAAGACGCACTGAAAGACAAATTAACAAAGACTAAAATTTAAGAAAGACAGTGGATAAAAAAACATACCTCGATACTGAAATATCCTCTGTCGACATAATCACCAAGGAAGAGATATCGCGTCTCCGCGGGGTCGCCACCAACTTCAAATAGTTTCATAAGATCATAATACTGGCCATGGACATCGCCGCAAACTGTAATAGGCGCGTCCATTTCTAGGAGATTAGGCTCCGCGCGCAGCAACTGGGTGCCCGTCTGTATAATCCATAATGCCTGCTCTTCAGTAAGGCGACCTTCACGATAGAAATGTTGTTTTAGAAACTGTAGGTTTGGTTTCGTTGGGTCTTCGAGAGACCAAAAATTGTCGTTTGTGGGAACCTGGAATGCGGGCGCTTGTACCTCTGTTGGAGAATGTTAGTCTATGCATTTCACTAGTTAATGATGACGAAATCCGGTCATGTCACCTTTACAAACTCTCTCGTGGGTAGAAACCTGAGTTCCGTCTTCCATGGTATGGAGAGTAAAGTCGATTTCAGGAACAGGCTTCTTCTCCGTCACCGCTCGCTCTATTTTGGCATCCATGTCTGCGAGCCAGCCTAAGAGACTTCGCCGAAAATATGGTGGATACGTTTGCGACGGAAAGGTGTAGGAAGGTAAATCCACGGCAACACAGGGAAGGAGATGGCAGTCCACACAGTCGGACGAGGGAATATCGGTGCCGGCTGCAAGGGTTCAATGATGATACAGGCTTTATCACGACAAACAAATCGGATCAACAATAATAAGCACTATGTAGTTAATCGGGAGAAGATCAAATCGCTCCAGGCATCATAAGGCGGGTTCGTTTAACTGATAGCTGCGCCAGTAGATATTGCCCCGCAACAGATTTAAGAAAAGTCGAACTGGTATGTAGAGGTTGGTTAACTTCTTGGGGATTTGCTACAATCAACGCCGATGCAATTATGTTAGTGAATCCATGATTTGGACATGGCATAGATTGTATGTAATAAGGGAAAAGAAACATACTGCTGCTTAGAATGTCACCTTGAGTAGGGGAGAAATATGTAGTTGCCACTGGCATCGAACACCGGGCAAGGAATTGGAAAAGTTGGAAGTTTGATGTTGATCGTTGGCTGCGATATTCTCCTATGTGGTGTTGTGTGGGGGAAGAAGTTGGGAGTTATTGGAGGTTATGGATGGCTCACTTGGGCGATGGCAGAATAGCCGTAGTCAGCAAGAAACCCGACGTTTGTGTCAGCTACGGCCTCGAGGACCCTTAACCATATCCCAGCCTCCGCTCATTAACTCCCACGTTCTCTATAACCGGAGTTTCACCCAACGACAGCAAGCATCAACTACAACCACCTACACACTCAGCCTGCACAGCCATATATATATATATATATATACACTCCCTTTTTGCTTCTTAAGTTGTGTATCACGCACCAATCATCTACATCTCCAGACTTCTGAACCCCAGATAGCTTCTCTGGCCCTCCTCATATCCAATAACCCCTGGAAGTCTTCTTTCTTTGAGCCATGTATGAATCATATAGTCAGTAGCTGTCCTGATGTTCATTTCAGCCGCGATCAAGGACCCCATGGTTATTAACATGTGCCTCAGAGCCCCACCCTCTCCTCGCCCAGATACCCTTAACGGTGTCGCCTTTTATATCCTTACCTACAGCGACAACGCTGTCATATACATATAAATCCGTATCCTCCACTCTTCCCCCATCAGTTTCAGTCGACCCAAGCAGCTCAGATAAGGTTCGCTATGTCCTTGCCCCTGGTGGTGGGCACGTGGCTCACCCCAGCGAGATCCTCGCATCCTGCGAGGCGTTAGAAAAGCACATGAAAAAGATGCAAGAAGATAGCCTAGCCGCAATCAAGGATTGGGAGGAATCGATAAGAAAGCGAGATTTGGCGGAAAAGCGTAGAATCGCACCGGGATGGCTCGATCGGGAGGAGAAGTTACTGCAGCCTATGCGAGTAACCCCACATGCGTCCGAAGGCGAGTCAACTTCCCCTCAGAATCAGCACCCAACGACTCAGAAATGTAAAGAAGGTACTTCGGGTACAATTTCAGAAAGTGAAGGGCAAGAGTTGGATCGTGCGTTTGGTGCGCTTGATATGCGATGATCCCGTATATTTGCCAGGCGAATGCGCAAAGTCTTTTCCCGGCTGTTGGACTGCATATATGCCAACAGCTTGCCATCCCTCTCTAGGGAGAAGCGTGATCAAAGGACGAAGGGCATATATTTTTCGAGAAAGCATCATCCAGGATACAGGGCACGTTGTAACCAAGGGAACAACTCTAACCCCTTGGTATTCTACGAGCAGATCTCAGATATGATATGAGAGCCAATCGAACCAGAATATCCAAGAAAATACAGGGATCTTCCTTCAGGACTTCTAGGGAGAAAATTACGACTCATTGCTCTACAGCGTCAACCACTATTATTATTAACCAACTTAGACATTTTGATTAAGAAATGTTATGAAGTCTTGAATAGTTTTAAGGGAGGGAAAATATTATTAAATAAACCAGTCCCCATATACATCGCCAGACCATGTTATCGTGGTTCCGCCGCTCACTCAACATACAACGTAATCTGGATCTTCGAATTGAAGTTGCCATGCTAAAATAGAACGGTTGATCAGCTACGGCGGGATCGTGAAAGGTCACGGTGATATGGCTATGAAGCCAATTGGATTGGAGGTCACACTTACTGGATGCATAACCGGTAAAACTGGACCAATCCTCCGAAACGTAATATGGGATACCGTTCCTCTTTATCCTCTTCAAGGTGCCCATTCCTCCTAGAGCTGGGCGAATGTTCTTGAGCGCAGTGACACGCTTGAGAAAACCGACCAGATAAGCCAGAGCCAACTCCCTTCCAAAACATTGATGGGGACCGTCGCCGAATCCGATATATTTCTCTAGCGGACGGTTCAATTTTATTGTTTCTGGCTCCGGGTATGCCTCTGGATCGCGACAAGCAGCAGCCTATTTTAAATATTAGATTTACAGAAATGTCCTTTTTAGAGTATTTGGATTGCTTCAGATGGGTGGACGAACGAAATATGCGATAATCTGGTCACCGGGCTGGAAGCTTTGAGCACCAAATTTGCCCGGCTGAGTAGCAACGCGCATCGTGATATGGCCAGCTGTCAGACGCTGCATTTCGAGAACATATCGTCGAAGATCGTTGTCAGCCCGTTCGGAATTTTCTTGAGTCAGAGCCCGGAATGCCTCGAGGTGCTCCGCGTTTTCTGGAACGGCAATCATGAACTCGAGAATTTCAGCAACCTGAATTGTCGCAACACAAGCACTGTCAGCAATTCCTTCCAGGCAAAAGTCTAGGAAGTTTTTCTAAGAATTATTTACCGTGCTGATCGCAGCACCAATGCCACCAAGTGCAGTGAATATCATGATGTCTGCGATTTCCTCCACCGATTTCCCACTGGCGAGAAGCTCCATAATACTGTCCCGCCCAAAGTCGCGGAGGGAAGTTGCGTGGTCGTGGGGTTTGATACCGTTGGTCATAGCACCTATGATGTTATGGATTCTGCTTGCGCTGGTAACTTTTTTGATGTATGCTTCGGTGGATGCAAGTAGCCTCTTGGTGGATGCTTGTGCGTCGCGACGGCGGTTCCATGCGAGGGCAGGATCGTCGTTTCCAAATCCCCAGACACGAATATCCAGGAGATCGCTGTATAGGCTATCTATGTTATATGTTCCGGAAGTGTTCTCCTCTGTCTTCAGGTCGAATTGGAAGAGGTCACCCACAAAACGTGCCATGACAGGGATCGCGACACTATATTTTGAAATAGGGGTTAGCTGGCGTTGGTGGTCAAGCTGGCGGAGAAAATACTTCTGCGATTTCATTGAACAACTTACTCTTTAAGGATATCGACATGATACGTCCTACCTCCAATTCGGAACATACTACCAGTCAAGAATTTGTCGGTCTGCTCCATGATGAATTTCGAGACCAGACCTTTCAGTTCACCACTTCCATAGAGCAGTCCACCATACAAATTTCGCTGGTCTCTGTTACGTGGCATATCGCCTGCAAGCATGAAGTGACCGAAGTCACGTCCTTCAATAAAATTTTCGTAAGGCTTTCCGAAGGGAACGGGGAACCTTTTGGGGTCAGTCAACATTTGGGAGATTTCTGAATGCTTCGTCAGAATCATGCGTCGGGGTGGAGGTTTCGGATCGGCTTCGGTATATTGAAACTTTGTCCCGAGCTCCGTTGCTATTTCGCGGTTCATATCCTTTGTGTACATTGGCTGCATTACTGCGAGAGAGTTAAATGGAAACCACCCTGGCAGACCACGCAGGATGAGTTTGTAGAACATGGAGCCTCCGAGCCTGTTTAATATTATCAGCACATATGTATTCTAGACTGCAAAAGCTCAGCTTACGTGTTATAGTCCTGTTGAATTTCTGCCATTCCCCAATTTGTCAGTGCGGCAACGTTGTACTCCTGTCATAAGGCATTAGCGATGTACGAATGGCTGATGGGTGTGAGGGCAAATTTCTCACATGTGTATTGAACCTGTCTGAACGAACAAGGGTTATGGCATCAGAAAGCACAGCCCTGCCGACGGTATAAGGGGTACAGACACCCGACCCTGGGTCCATTCTCGGTTTCGCATCTTCAACGTACAAGCCTGGATAGGCTTCTACATTATCGGGGTGTCCGTAAAGGTTTCGGAGATGATCGGCAATTTCTGGGTCAGGATTGATATCTTCGAAAGTTTCATGGGGTTTAAGCTTGAAGAATTTGCGGAACTCATTGAGTGATGCCGTTCTCCTACGGAGAGCAAATATTAGAAAGGATCCCGTGGAATCCAGGAGGCCAATTGGGGAATAATAAGTAGCTATCTCCTTACCATTGGCGGGCTTGGTGTATACCCAAGATCTCGACAACTCGCAAGGCTTTCGGCGTGTTCTTGGGTCCAAAAGAACCTATAGGGATTGGATTTTGTTAGCAACTACAGATCGTTCCAATTCATTATACCAAGAACTGCGTACCTGCTGGGTCCTCCATGCTTTCCTTCAATATTCTCACAAGATCTTCATCTCGGAATTTACCATCCTCCCCTCTTTCGATGCCACCAAAATTACGCTTACTCGGATCTTTGGGGATCATGGATTCGAACCGCCCAAGAGCTTGCAGGCCATCCTTCAGGGACAATTCATCGATGGACTTCCCAGTGCTTTTGAAAATTTCCCCAAAGAAGTCATCCAGCCATACTTCATCTCGCTGGGAAATACAAGAATGGAAGCGGTATAGTAGGTTGAATTCGCTAGTGACCTGATTGCCGATGCCTCTTTCGGGACCGGATTTTACCAACGAGTCTGGGATGTCGACGCGTGGATCCAAGGTCCATGTACTGTCAGAATGATGGGTGTTGGTAATAGCACGGAGGTAGTCGTGAAGGCTGATGTTGATATACAGTCCGTTTACAATCCTAGAAATTTTGTTAGCCTATCTCGTCAGCCTCAAATCGGCGAGTTCACAGAACATACAATCTGGCTGTCTGGAACAGGTCCTCGTCCAGTTTGGCAAGTGAAGCTTCATCGTCTCCTTTGGGTGTGAAACGTCCTCCCTCATTGATTAGAAGCAGAGTCTGAGCTGTATAGTTGTGGAACCGGCTGTACAGCACTAGGAGGACGTTGCAGCCAGGAGATTGTCCAATTAATCTCTCATCGTGGAAAGTGTCCGGCTTGAGGAATCCATTCTTCATAGTCCTAACCTTCAATTGATCTTCAAGACTTGATCCGTACAATGGCGAAAGGTCAAGATAGGATGAATTGTTATTAATATTCATGTCGCGCCGGTCAGTTCGGAATATATCTATATCATTTCAGCAAATCATATTCGACTCTAAGGGCATTCTTTGTTCCTCAAAGGCTCATTTTTTCTCCTTACCGTGAATAATGAGAGCTGCATGATAGAACAACATGGATGAGATTCCTCCTTCATTCTTTTTAAATTGGCCATCCTCCCGTTTCATGAGAACTATATCAAAATATCAACACAATGCTTTCTCTCACGTAGTCATTGTTGGGACTCACGGTCAAAGAGCAATCCTGGATCTGGTCTGACGCCTGGAAGCATGGTGTCGCTTCGGATCGACCTTGCATATGGCATTCCAGCCTTTCCCAGGTTCGGGAAATGTACATTCTGCGGTGATACTATTAGTTATCTTTGCCTACACCCACCTCTCAAATGCGGTAGACTCACGTTATAGCTTCCGTCTGGGGTCCTGTAGTAAAACTGTGGCCCCTGGAAGTTGATCGGGGGATGTTCGAGACTATCCCAAAGTCTCGTGATAAGGAGGTTTGTCAATTTAGTCCGGTGTTTAGAACCTTGTGGCAACGCGCCAACCATGGCAATGATGTTTTCCATCTATCATGCCGTCGGTTTCAGTCCATGAAAACAAACTGCTCGCCAGACTCTTACTTACCGCCAGCAATCTGTCATTCATGGGTTTCCCTTTCACAGTGTCCTTGACGAATTTGATTACGTCGCCAACTCTTTTCAGGTCCATATTCTTCGGATGGTGTTTCATGATGGTCAGGATGAGGGAACCACTGTCGATACCCGTTCCATCGTTGTCCTTCTTTGTGACGGTGTCATCCTCACTACTTGATTTCGGAGAGACAATCTTGCGGATGCCATGACCAAATCTGTATAGGGTAAAGGTCACCACCGCTATCACAACACTTGCCGTCAAATATGAAGTCATCTTTATTTGAAATTAATTGAAAGCGATATGAAAGAACAAAAGCCCGTTCCCAAGACAGGGGGAAGACCTTTGTGCGAGCTTGCAAATCAGGACCAGTGGGATACGCTCAAAATGAGAATCAATCGAGGGAAAGTATTTTATATGAAAAGATCCAGAAAAGCCACGAGTTGTCGCAGAGTTTATTCCCGTGTCATGGAAGCAAAGCGGGGGACCGACATGCAATCACACATCTTCAGAGAAGATGAGGGCCAGAAGGGTCATCATTCCAAAGTCCAGTATTTTCCGATACGGAGCCCCATCAGGATGGAGATCCCTGGGCTTAGTCTTTAGATCCATACAATCCTGAAGCTAGCCACACTTTGACAACGTACTTAGCTATCCAGACGTGCAATTAATTGTGGCAGCTCTTTGTGATACAGTTCTTGCATTTGGGTCTAGACTAGTCCTCGAGGCGTGCACAAACTACAGCTATCCGCCAATCATGGGACTCGTGCCGATCCCTCCGGGCACCAAATATCATTCATGGCCATTGCATGTGGGATGCCAGAATTTCCAGTTTCGTGAAATTCTGCAAAACTTGGGATGGTCGAATGCATGGTTCCAACAGGATGCATTACTTTTTCTCTCCAGTCCTCAGCACTGTCCAACATTGATGAAAATTGAGGCTTTCCTATTTGACGGAAATCCTCAGTCAGCCGTTTGACAAAGATACCTTTAATTATGCAAAAGCCCACCGAAGCTCAAGCCATTGCTGTTGCCCATCTTTGATATGCAGTTTTGATAGAGATTTACCATTGACCAAAATTTGGCGTGGGGATATATATCGTCTGGTGGAGCTGATTGGGATGCACATACGCAATTTTCAGCCATCATTTACACTAACACACATTATTACTGGAGCTGGTCCGCCATATTTAGCTTTTTCGGTCTGTGTTGGCTGGCGAGCGTGATCATGCAAGAGAGTCTAAGAGCGGGGTTTGTTAATTATCGCGATCTCAAATTGTTTGCGACTTCTTTCAGGATAAAAAGCTCTTTCCCCTTGTCGATCCGGCCGCTGGCGAACTTCGCCACTTGATCTTGAAGGATATCTTGCGCAAATATTCCCGCTTTTTCCTATCATACCGGCTTTTGTGATGACAACTTAATCATCCCTGAAGTAACTCACCATGATCCCTTTCAGCACAAACCGAGAACAACGGAGTGATTCCCCTAGGCGTCTCGTCCTATGCTTCGATGGTACTGGGAATAGTTTTCAGGCAAATGAGTCGGATACAAATGTCGTTAAAATTTATGACATGTTGAATCGCTTTGACAAGAACCAGTTTCATTACTATCAGCGTAGGTATCGTGATAAATCACACACATGTCCCCTTTATCTCAGATTCACCGCAAAGCGCATGTTTTGGATTCTGATTTGTTTTATTCAGCTGGGATTGGGACGTTTGACGCGGGTTCCAATGGCTCTGGAACAACCTTTATAGATCGAGTAAGAGCTAGCATCGGATCAATGATGGATCAAGCAATTGGTACCACCTTCGAATACCACGTCTCCGCTGGTTACAAGTTCCTAATGAGATTTTACTCACCGGGTGATGCAATATATATCTTCGGATTCTCCCGTGGAGCATACACCGCACGGTTCCTGGCGGAGATGATCAACGTCATTGGTCTGTTGTCCCAGGGAAACGAAGACATGATTCGCTTTGCTTTCCAATCATTCAGTGAGCTTCAACGGAACAGAGGCAAGCTGAACAAGAGCGCTAAAGAGCTCGAACATGAGCAATACTTGGGGCAATTTAAGAGAACGTTTTGTCGTCGCCATGTCAAAGTGTATTTCCTTGGCCTTTTTGACTGTGTAAACAGCGTTGGCCAATTTGACGTTCCTTTCCGACGACAGTCATATCGCTACATTGCCACGGTAAAAGCGACCGTCTACCCGAGTTGAATTTGTAGCCTCTTTGTGCCAGTTTGTCTAACATGAAATCAAGCCACCGGCGGTTCACATCCGCCATGCAGTTTCCATCCATGAACGCCGACTCAAGTTCAAGCCCGCCCTCTTCCTTTTCGAAAAGGACCATAAAGACTCCGACATCCAAGAAGTATGGTTTGCGGGTAATCACTGTGATGTTGGCGGAGGATTCCACTATGAAGGCCCCGGCAAGCATCTTCTGTCCGATATCCCGTTGGCCTGGATGATTGATCAGGTCAATGCGCTCGAAGACCAACCCGCCGGCAAGTTAGCATTTGACCAGGAGACTATTAAACAAAGAGGCCATATGAGAGCCGGGCATATGCCAGTGTTATTGCCTACTCATGGGAGTCCCTCACACACTCCACGTGAATCAGTACTCAAAGAACGGCGGCCGCACGATTTCCTCGCTTTTGACCGTGGAGTTACACGTTTTGCAACGTTAATGTGGTGGATCCTAGGTATGTCCAACCAAACACACACGAGTTGAAATTCTCCCATATACATCCGAGTCCCATACTCGTATTAACTCCCCGTCTCACGCTGAACCAACAGAAATCCTCCCCCTCTTCACTCGTCTGGAACTTGAGCACGGAGAGTGGATCCCGCGCTACTGGCCCCCAAACCTCGGGGCCACCCGTGACATACCTAAAGACGCCAAAATTCACTCTTCCGTTGTGCAGATGTATAAATCCGGCGTTTTAACCGAAATGCCTAGACTTGGTGGTGACCTACCACCTTTTCTAGAAGATCCCATATTGCTGATAAAAATGTTACCTTTGCTACTCATGAAAACGGCGCCTTTGCTGCTCTTACAAATGTTGATGCCGTGGAACTGGACTCTCCGCTGGATGATGCGAAAAAATATCCCACCGAAGGCCCAAGAGGTTATGAAGAAGAAGATCACCAAAGTGGTGGAATCACACGGCGCGAGATCATGGTACTGGACATACTGATGTATCTTTTCCTGTTGGATGTTTGTTAATATGTGGAATGAACATTTGCTGGCATTTTACGTGTAATTATGTGGCTATCTGTCTGTCAGCAATCTAGTTATGAAGAGATGCAAATATTTACTATCACATAATTGTTCTACTGTTTGTTGGTTGCGACGAATAAAACTGTTTCTGACTGGGCGTTCACTATTTGGCTGAAAAATGAGGTCGAGATTAGATGCTAACTCTGTATTTATCTGAGCAAACTTTAAACTTTGCGCACCGTTCCCTTGGGCTAGTTTATGATCGACTTGTTACAAGAGCCAGATCAACAAGGATCTTCATTATCAGTCCCGCAATGGCGCATGGGTCGATTGGTAGCATCCGTTCCAAAGAGTGGCTAAAATATGCTCCCAAAAAACCATTTCCCTGCCACATTTGTGTTCAACATCCGTCGATTTGCAGCATCTTCAAACACCTATCTTTCAACGAAAAAGCGCCGCTAATAGCGTTAGAAATACTCGGCCTTGTTTTTGGTACCGATTTTTCGGGTTATCCGAAAGCGATAATTTGGGAAACAATTTTCAGGACGAGAAAATGAGGTGTATTATGGTTGACGCGCGTAATAGATCTACAGACTCCAGTTACTTCCCCTGAATCCAAAATGGAAGCACACCAGGATACGGCGGTAAGGGTATGATCTTCTTGTCAGACTTCGCATCTTTGAAAAAGAGCCACCCTATATGTGATGGTATGTGATGGAATGACAAGTTGTTGCATATATAAACATATGTCGGATTTCGTTTGGTGCAGGGATGGTAGTTTTGATGATTCCACTTTGTCCAGGTGCGCCACTATGAGGGTAGCACCCGAGGCAAGTTTTATCGGTAAAACTGAATAACTCATAGTCAGGGGTGTTGGGTTTTGGGAAGAAATCTATCGAGATATACGAATTCCTTCGTCTCTTTCCTTTCCCTACCCTCCTGGTCTCATACCCCAATAGGCTCTGGGTAGGCATGAGTCCATCCGTTTCCCACTACCGAATCTTCTCTGTAGATGTTACTTTTCACTTCTTCTGTCTGCAATTGCCGTTGTGTCTGTGCGGTCAAAGTGCGGAGTATACCGTCAGAGAGGAATGTGCAAAATCTGTAACCACTGTATTTTGGGAGCTTGAATGACCATGGTTAACCGTTACCGCCTTAGACCACTCACTGTGCCCTGATCTTGAATTTCCAATCTAAATCTGCGTGCAGGATGTGAATGCAGTTGATAATGATATGTGATATTGGTTTTTATTTGAGGGGTTCTGATACATTCGCTAATGTCTCCCCAATGTTGAGTAAATAAGAAGGAATGGAGTACTTCTGTTCTTTGAACTCAATTCCAACTCATTACTGAAATCATCTTCGATTGATGAAATAAGGATCTTCAGATCTTGAACTTTTCGATTAGCTGTCTGTTGTGATCAAAGTTTTCGAATAAGTTCAGTATTGTTCGTCCATCCAATGGAGAGAAGTGGTCAACGAGAAGGTGGTTATCACCGTCAATGCTCGAAAGCCATGTTATGACACTGTATGGAGGTTTTCTATATCGCATTTCCCCTGCTTTCGGGGTCCAAGAGAAATCACGGTTGGTGCCTTCAAGGGAGTACTTGCCCCATCCCACTTAATTATTATCCAGATGATGAATCTCCAGATTTCGGATGGGTTATGAGCATGCCCGAAATTGCCACGGGTGGTGTGATAGGGGTGAGGGGGATGAAAAAGCAAATATAGTGGCGTGTGGAGATTCGTCTCCATACGAGCAGTCAGTCGCCATTCTGTCGAAACCTTTCCCTTACCAGCTCGAAGCCCTTCAGGAGCCAGTCAACAGCGATAACGCTGATAATCGCCATCACTATATAACTTCCAAAAAATAACAGCAATAAGTAATGTGTTATCGTGATTAAGTTTTGAACTAAATACTATACAATTCATGAGTTCTTGCCCTGTCCAGTTTGCTTCTCTCCCTTAGTTTCACTTCCAATCTCAACCAACAAGAGGGCATACATACATAGCAAATGAGATTTTCAAATGCGGTCATTGTGGGTGTGGTGTTTGTTGGGTGTCTTGGTCTTGTATCTGGAGAGGTAGATTATACTCAATGGCACCCTCCAGGGGCCGAGGACAGTAAGTTATGTATCTAAATGCCTTTGAACATCATGGAATTCTGACACTGTTACAGTCCGTGGGCCTTGTCCTGCCTTGAACAGCCTCGCGAACCATGGATTACTGCCCCGGAATGGCAGGAGAATGACGTATCCAGTATTACTCAAAGGCATACTGGAAGCACTAAACGTTGGGTTCGATCTCACTCTAGTTGCTGGAACTGGAGGGATGATAGGCGCAAAAAACCCTCTTCAGCTTTATTTCGACCTCGATGATCTCGGCAACCACGATTTGTTTGCGGAACACGATGCGAGTTTATCTAGAGCCGATATATTTTTTGGGGACAATATTAGTTTTAACGAGACGATTTGGCAGAGCGTACTTGATTACTTCGAGGACGACGAAACCGTAAGCTTCAAGGCTGCTGCCAAAGCCAGACTTAATCGAATCAAAACGGAACGCAAACGAAATCCCGACTTCACTTTCAATGCGAAAGACATGGTCATTAGCTATACTGAAACTGCGCAGTACCTGAGTGTATTTGGGCACCCGATTAACGGAAATCCTCCTGTAGATTGGATCAGGATATTCTTCGGTAAGAAAGTTTTGGGACTTGATTTATATGCTACATGTGTGCATCAGCGCGGCTCGTGACAATTCTAACCAAGAAATAGAGCAAGAACGGTTGCCATATATCGAGGGATGGCGACGGCCAGCCATACAAACGAACGCGGTAACCCTTGTGCCTTTGATAGCAAGAATAATGGTGGCTGGAGGAGAGATTCTTCCCGAAGCATTGATGTTGACGGAGAACACTTTAAAAAAGATCCTAACCGGCAAGCCCATAGAGGGATTGATCGGGAGACTCCCGTTAATAAATAAAAGATAAACAAGAGAAAAGTAAGGGTTACATCTGGCCCTTGTAATTTTTGTTCTTTTTCCTGCTGTATCTCACCGCTTGCCGCTTTCTCTCAGGCGTATGTATATACACATCATGATAGCTGCTAGGATAGCAATAATATTGATCTAATAACTCCCGGAAAACGTTATATCAATTGCGCAGGATAAACTCCTGAGGGTAGCCCAAGGAATCGGGCCAGAAATTTGACACGGACAGCAAGTATTGAACAGTAATATGTTTTCCGCAGCTGTGTCCAGTAATCGCACTGCAAAATATCCAGTTAATATCCAGTTTATGCAGCGAGGTATATCGCACTGCTTGGATAGAGGTTTCGTTGACGTTGGGCAATGTTGATGTTGGTGGAAGCGCTGCTTAGTCACCGCCCATTCCGCCAAAATCGATGTCCGCCCCGAACTTCCACCTCCAAACAACAAGATACCCCAACCGTACAAATGCTGCTAAAGCGCCAAAAAGCTCTATCGCAGTTTCATTTCTCATTAATTGAACTAGAGATTGTCCGTATTTCCAATGGAAGTCCTTCACAACCCCCCAGAGCCGTCCTCCTTCATCCCGCTCTCTGAGCACCAGTCGCATACCCCAGCATCCTTCTATTCAGGGCCTCCCATCCTGCACCATCTGAGCGAACGATGCAAGATTGTAATCCTAGAAAGAGAATTGAACAAGTCCGCGGCATTGAGAGGTTTGCGATCTCATGCGACAGGAACTGAAGCTACAAATGGAGCTCCATCCGCCGGCGACGAAACTTCCACCCCCGCTCACACCTGCGCCAGTTCGGAGGAGGATACAGAGATTGTGCTAGAGGATATTGATGTCTGGGTATCATCTGAGTATGCATGTTCATTTTATTATTCCAAGAACTATTCATTGCTGTTTATATCATGGAAATGAAAATGCACATTTTCTTTTCAAGACCACATCTATGACAGTTGGCGGTCCCTAACAATACAGACAGGCGTCTTCTCCTCTATTCCCAGCCTAGGAAAGTTGGTGTCGCAATCCCATATCCTTCAATTTCCCTCCACGCAATCCAGCGCCTTTGTATTCCGGGCTTCACCTCCCCAAACACAGACTCATCCTCCCCAGGAGACGAAAATACGGTGCAGGGTGTATACATGCAACTTGCATCAGACAGCAACGACAGCCAAGAAGACGAAGATATAGAAGAAGACAGCACATGCCTAACAATTGTGCCTCCACTTCCACCTCCACAATCACAACCACAGCCCCAAGAAGAACAAGAACAACAACAGGACGAGCTACTCACGGGCGATGAAGAAATGCCCAACCAAACCCCAACCCAAGAACTTTTTGCTGCCATCTCAGCCTGTTCAAACTTGCACCCAGACCCAACCTCGCCTCATGAAGATGGTGATGGCGATGAAGAAGGCGATCATGGTACCCAGAACGAGCAACTGAATGACAGTGTTCTTTTTCAAAACGGGTTGATCACTCCTGGTAATAATGCAGGTGGGTTGCCACCAGCAATGCCCGGGAGCGGGGGTTGGATTACGGCGGAGAATGCGCATGAGTATTTTGATGAAGAGGGGAATTGGAAGGGCGAGGGTGTGCCATCTTTGGGGCCTGGGGCGGGAACCGTTAGGCCTCGTGAGGAAGGCGGCGAAGAGGATCCAGATGGTGCCGGTGCTGACACTGGTCCAGGCGGAGAGGAGACGAAGTGGAGGAGGACGGACTGATTTTATGGCCCAAAAAGTTAGTTTTTCTTTTTTCTTTCTTTCTTTTTCTATATTTTTATTGAGCTTGCTTGCCACGTTCATACTTCATATTCCCAAATGTAACGATGCTTTTCCGACTTTTACTTAAAAAGTAAGAAAAAGATGTCATGACTAGAAGAATGAATAGTTAAAATGAAGAGAGATGGGCAAGTCTTTAGAAAACTAAGATTATTTCAACTGCTAGCTTTTATAAGATACATATATAGATCCCATACAGACCCAATCCCCCAGGGTTGTTAAACATTAAGATATGACAGCCGGCAAAAAAGGCATCGAGATTATAGGCTTCGGCAGCTTGGTCCACCTATATACCAAGCAAACAACCAGTGAAATGAACAATAATGACAAAAAACCCACGTGGGAAGAAATCCTACAGAACTAAACAAATCCTAACACACATTAAATTAGACACTGTCAATACCAATGTGAAAAGAAAACATTCATAAGGACAAGATAATACTCGTACACGTCCAATATAGCTAGACCAAATAAACGATACATGCAGGGGTATGCGAAAACAACCAGCATCCAGGCCACTCATTAAAGATCAACCTAAATTTTCGAGGTGAAACGTCAGAAAGAAAGGAGAGCAAACGGGGAGGAGATAGCACCAAACCAGCATTTCGTAAATTCCCAAACGGAAAACGGAAGACGAAAACCCAAACACTCTAAAGAGGCAATACCAAGTGAGATTCAAACAACTAAAACTGTTAACTCAACCCCCATCCTCGTGTCGCAGGCTTATCTCATGCCCCCCTTTGTCTGGAGCATCAACATTGATACCATCATTCCTTTAAAAACCCAAATTGGTCATATATGCTCCCAGGAGTCCTCACAAGAGATGAGACCATCTGTTCCGCCCCTATTACCATGCCCGCTTTCAACGGCGTTGAAGCCAAAGATTCCGAACACCACCCAAGTTTCTCCGAAGGCGTCTCCATTCCCTTCTCTTCCATAGGATCAGCTGTTGGCTCTTCGCTTGCCCGTTGGTTGTTCCTTGAAGGAGTGGCTGTTGGTGTGGTTGATCCACTACCGGATTCATCCTTGCCGCTATCAATGCCATATATTACATTATTGAAATTCTCACCTGCACCGGCAGATTTCTCATCAGATTCACATTGTATCGCGATATTGGAAATAGATTGTATCGTTGCGAGTGCTGCGCGGAATTTTGGAGGACGGGAAGACACATGTTCCCTCATCAAGGGTAGAGGTAGGATGGGCAGTGGTCTTGGCTTTCTTATCCACGACTCTTCCATCTCTGAGTCCGTCTGTTGTGGAGAGGCTGTAAGAAGAGCAAAAGCATTTCTCATTGGATAATTGCTGTCTTCTTTGCTTTTTTGCTCATTGCTCCCGCTAACGATGTTACTGTAACTTTTCAGACTCGAGGAGCCAGAAACACTCCGTGGTGTTGTACATATCGGTGTGTTTGTCAGTGAGTCCGCCATTGTGTTTGTGGGGTGGCGCTGGCCCTTCCTAGAAGAAGTAGTAGTAGAAGTGGGCGTTATTGAAGCCGAGCGGGTGGGCTGGTACTGAGCCAGGAATTGAGATCTTGTGCTAGTTGAGTTGCGACGCAGCGAAGAACGACGCGGAATAATGGGCTTTTCGTCAATAGGAGTCGGAGAAGCTTTTGATACACCTTCCTCTGTAGTCGGGTTACATTGGGCAGAGATAGGTGTAGTATCAGCTTCGTCGTCGGCCAGATTGTGCTCGTCATTGTCGAAAGGATTCTGAGAATCCGCAGCAGCAGATGGCAGTTTTGAAGATGCCTTCTCCTCAGGGACTGTGACAGACGCTGTTGCTTGAGGGGTAGCTTGGCGTGAAATCTCCTCTGACTCTTCAAACGTTGGCGACAGTGGAGCCGGGCCAGGGTGACTAATGGATACCCTACCGCTATTCTCTCGTTTATGTCCCTTCTTGCGACTATTGATAGTCGTCTTCGTGGAGATTGATAGGGTTGGGGAATCGGCACCACGAGATCGTTTAGTCGGACTTTCACTGCCAGCTGAACTTTGTGGGCGACCTCCCCGATTCTTTCTGTTCTCCGTCACAGGCTTCAGTATGCTAGAACTCGCTAGTCCGTGGCCTGGCTTAACTTCACCACCAACTCGGGAATATTTATTCTCATTTGTGTCATATATACACGGAGGTTGCTTGATTTCGCCATGGATGCTACTCTGAATCCATGGTCCAGTTGGGACATACGACGGATAATGCATCGATACACTTCGTCGAGGGGATAGACGCTCTTCTCCGTGCTTGTGTGAGCTGGCAGATGTCGAGCTATATCGACGCGGGGATGGCGCTTTTGAGATCCGGGATACCGACCCGCCTCTACTAGAGCTTGATAAGTCCCAAACATAGGCTGAACCATACCGCTCATGTGTCCTTGGAAGGAGTAATCTGGCGGCCTCCAAATCAACGAAACCAGTCTCACTAGCGACATCATCAAGGATTGAGCTACCCGCAGTATCCAGGCTTTTGTTTGAAAGGAGCATCGAATCATGTCTAGTCAGTTGAGGTACTCCAGGCGGCCAGAGAGACGGCAAAGGAGGAACAGGCTGCTTTGGAGGAGAACCAGGAATCTGTTGCAGGATACTTTCAGACAGTCTTTTCGCTAATGCAGCTTTAGCAATTGGCCCGCCTCGCATAGTTGCAGTAATATCATAGTATGATCCCTTTCTAGTAGTCTGTGGCCACGAAGTGATGCGGCCTCCCACATCCTCAGCTTTGTTGTCATTCTGCTGGGGCTGCTGGGTTTGCTGTCTTGACTTTGGCGTGCTGTCAGCTCGAAGCTCCGCGGCATCATGGGGGAAGGAATCAATGTTGGCAATATCTGAGGAGCTTTCGTAGGCGGGAGAAGATACGAAAGATTCGAGAGGTATATCTCTACTACGTTTCTTCTGCAGGCGACGGGAATTACGCGTGGATGAAACCGATGTACGCAAAAACCTTCTCTCTGTTGAAAGACGGGTAGGTGGCTCTGGAATACCAATGGAGCCTTGCCGGGGAATGTTTTCCATAGAGCTAATTGCAGACCATTGCCTCGTGCCAGTGTATGGGAAAGCTATTGAAGATTGAAACCTTCCGCGAGACTGAGGGTATAAATCGCGGCTGCGCCCATTGGTGGAATGATGTATATTCTTCTGTTGTCGAAAGCGGAGGCACAGGACGGTTATCAGCAAGACAGACAGAAAAAAGGTGACAGCACAAGTCACGGAAATCACAACAACGTCACTCAAAGCCATTTTTCTTTCTTTTAAAGTTTGCTGTCAGTCGGCTGCCATGCGTAAAAAGCTTCTGGAGCACGAAGACAAGCGTGGGGTGGTAGTAAAAGAATAGCACCAAATAGGTACGAAGTCTGGAAGAACAGTGTAGCAGGAAAGAAAGAATCATGCAATGAGAAAAGTAATGAATGGTTCGTTGCTCTTTACAGAGATCTTTTCTGTCTGGCAACGGGTTGTCATGGCACTGAGCGTGCTCAATGGCAGCTCTTATCATAACAGAACTAGTCTAACAATATCCCTGTCTTGAAGTAACAAGAAGCAGTCGTACAATGTGACTGTGTGTTCCAAAAGTCTTTAGGAGACGATATAAAAGAGGAGAAACATATGATATTGCAGCATTGCCAATATCAGGACTTTTATATGAGAACTTCAGACGCTATGTCAATTCATAGTTAACAACAAATGAAGAATCTGAAATAAGAGGGTTTATGGCATGATGAATATAGCTTGTTATTTCATCAAAGAGTTGAAGCAACTTCAGAACTCAGGAAATTACCCATTTTATTGCCTGAATGCAAATATATGAAAATATATCAAAGGCTAAACTGTATCTCAGGTCTTGCAGGGCTGAAAGGCACATAACGTCAGCTATGTAGGCTCCGTCCAGAGGTCTAAAGATATTCAGTTCCATTGAAACACCACGTGCTCCCCCACGTAAGCTCTTATAGCAGTAACTAATGGAAGGTATTATTGGAGATATACAGTGACCTTTGTTGGGATGAGGTTGAAGAAGAGAAGAAACAACGTTAATGTCAAGGTGGGGTAGCTAAAGATAATAAACATACACTGAGTGGCCAGCGCCAATTAGTTACCTTTAATCAAATTTCACAATAACTTAATGAAATTCCCCACTGAGCAAGCCACCTCACCGCCTCCGGAATAAGGAATAAGAAAGCATGTTATAGATGAAAACTTTAAATATCTACTCTCAACAACCATTAATTAAATTGAAATATATGAGACTAGAATTAGAGTATTTTGTTCTTATATTTCTGAGCATATTGAAATTGCTGCACTTTTACAGTACTCATACATGAGATCTAGTCTCTACAGACAAAAGCACTAAGAGCTAAATAATGAGATGTTCAACAGACTCTGCAAATAGAGAAATAAGATTCTAAAATTTTTCTTCAATTGCATCTTCTTGATGTTAAATTTAATATTAAATCTTTATATTTTTACATTTTTTTCTTTGCAATAAATATATTTTATTATTATTTATATAATTTTATATAATTTTAATAGAATTTATTTATAAAAATAAAATTAATAAATTTTAATAAATTTTTATATATTTTAAAGTAATTAAAAATTATTAAACTAAATATATATATTTAAAATTTAAAATTTTTATAAAATATATTTAATTTTTATTTATAATTATTTATTATAATTTATATTAAATTAAAGTAAAATTTTAATATAAATTAAATTTATATTATATTATATTAATTAATACTTTTTAATTTTTATAATATTTAAATTTTACTATTAAATTAAAATTAAAAACTAAATATATTATAGTTAATAAAGTTTTATATAAATTAATCTAAGTAATATTCTATTTAATATAAATTTATTAAAATAATAAAAATTAAAACATGTAAATAAATAGCATAGTATTATTTGATTTTATTATGAATGAAAAGTTCTTAATCAGACATTTTTGCATTATATTAAAATTCATTATCATATTTTTCAAAAGCTGACTTGTTAAGAAGGGTGGGACAAGAGCTTCTTCACGTCGAGTCCACTATAATGAAGCCTCTCAGAGAAGTCAGGATTGGCAGAAATTAAATGGTTTTTTGCAGTCCAGGATAAGTCGAATTGGCAATACATCGATGGGTGAGTATCTGCGTATTATACTTTGTAATCCATTGCATCCTTTCCTCCCCCTAATCAGGTAACTAACCTGCAGCAGATTTTGGGCGGCAGAGTCCAGTTGGGAGTGGGCGGGAAGAGGGGGGGTGGGGTTCCCGTAGCTGTTGGACGTCTGAGTGGTTGTATTGGCAGCTCTCTACTTGGGGCTTTGTGCTGCGTGCGGGGCGCCAGTTCGTAATAGGAAGCCCTAGGCTCCAACAGTACCCAACTGCTAGGGTGATCCCTATAGGATTGTTCTCGCCCTTCCAAGTATAATTCGACTCCTGGCGATTTGTTAACCTTGTTGTCATGTAGTTAACTAACTAACTGGTTAGTCTACCACTTCACTGAAGCCGCATGCCTTCCCACATGTGCTTAGTCAGCCACGCAGTCGTCTCGTCTATCACTCACCCTCTGCTCACGATACGAATTCTCCTGATCAATAACAACGTCTGGTTGACTCCTGATCTGGGGACATTCAATGTAGTTACTCCGTGGACTTCGCTGGATAAATTCCCTCTTTGATCTAATCACATTTCCTGCCAATCCGTGGCAGAGTTACAGTTAAGAGTTTCGCGGTATCACCTCTGAAGACCCAATTTTATCTACATGCCGATTGTAACAGGCCTCCATGGCCGGACAACTACATGTACATTAACCTCTTCTTCTTTTCCCTCTTATCTCTAGTCATGGGGCGATCAAATCCATAAAACTAAAATGCTCTCTCCACAGAGTCTGTCAGACATCCGGTGTTTGCGCACAGCAAAGTGGACGTGAAAGCCCATCACCTCAACCTGGGAAATCTTTTCGATGGCTTTTAATGATCTTGTTTGAAAGGTCCGATTTTATTTCATTCAAAATCTAGATTAACCAGGGTTGGGGTTAGTTATTATTATTATTATTTTTTGATTACGGGATCATCCAGGCAGCACAGTTCGGGCGAGTTGAAATCGCCGGGGCCGGTTGGACAGGCCGACAGGGAAGAGATTTATACATAGAGGAAAGTTTCGCGATAAGTAAGTAATTGCTCATCAAATATAGGGCACACTGATTTAACACATTAAGAAACAGCACACCGGGATGTATGGTTATACATTGCCCATCGCCGGGAAAATACGATAAATGCATGTTCCCTTCTTCTGGCGCTCCACTAGAAGCGTCCGATTATGACGTCATGGACATGCGGCAGATTTTTGCGCCTCTCTCGTGAACGGGACATATAGCCCAGGGATGAGGAGTTCAAGAGCCTAAAGGTCATGCATCAATGGGCATTGTTGGAGAAATGTAGAGGCGCGTTCTCTGGGGTTGGTTCGACGAGAAGTTAAACTCTACGGACCAACCCTTTTAAGAGTTTATTTTAGAGTTAACCTGTTCCATGTATCTATTCCGATATCCCCGTTCTCCTCTCCCTTACACTATCCATTCCGATATCCCCGTTCTCCTCTCCCTTCCACTATCCATTCCGATATCCCCGTTCTCCTTTCCACTCCACTATCCATTCCGATCTCCCGTTCTTCATTCCCTTCCACTCTTACATCACTGCTCTCCCCTCCGGTTCTCTCCACGAAGACAACTGCACCTCTTGTTCGTTGCCCTACCATCTCCACCCATCGGTTCCGCTTCTACAGCCATTCAAATACCCTGCCAACGGAGTAAAAAAGGGAGAATTACTAGCTTTACACCCCATTTAGTACCCAAATACCCAACTCCTGCCTCGTATATTCTCGAATATGTCCGGCCCAATTGTCGACGGCAAGTTCCGCATCGATAACACTTCCCCGCCTTCCGCCAGCTCGGGCATTCTAGCGCTCTTCTCATTGAAAGGGAAAACAGCCATCGTAACCGGTGCAGGTGCAGGTATCGGTCTGGCTGTCGCCCATGCTTTGGCAGAAGCCGGTGCCAACGTCGCCATCTGGTTCAACCGCAACAAAGCGGCCATTGAGCGGGCAGCGGAGATCGAGAACAAGTATGGCGTTAAATGTGGGTATTATGTATCTGAACCTACCTGTATTTATTTGCTATCACACTTCCTTCACCTCATCCTGCTCAATTGAACTCCTTGTACCACCGGAAAGCGTAAAATTTTCATGAAAACTAACTGGCTCCCTCGCAGGCAGAGCTTATCAAGTCAATGTCACGGACCCACAGGTTGTCTCTGACGCCGTGGACAGCATTGTCAAAGAATTTAACGGACGTCTCGATATTTTCGTTGCCAACTCTGGTATCCCCTGGACCCAAGGCCCCATGACAGAGGGTCATCTGGACCACTACCGTAAAGTAGTCACGACAGATATCGACGGGGTGTTCTACAGCGCCCGCGCCGCGGCTGTGCACTGGAAGCGTCAAAAGGAAGAGGGTACCGACATCAATGGCAAGAAATTGGAGAATTTTTCGTACGGAAGTTTCATCGCCACCGCGTCTATGAGTGGACATATTGTCAATTTCCCTCAGTTGCAGGCAGCATATAACGCGGCAAAGGCGGCTGTTGTTCACCTTTGTAAGTTTTCCTACATATACATCCCCACTTGTCCTGTTCATGTGCACCTGTGGCTTGTTTTAGAAGAAACTGCATATCTAACCGCATCCTTTACCTCTTTCCCTGTTCTTTTCTAGGCAAATCCCTCGCTGTCGAATGGGTGCAATTTGCCCGTGCCAATTCTGTCTCTCCCGGTTACATGGCTACGGAAATCTCCAACTTCATCCCTTCTTCCACCAAGGATATCTGGAGAAGCAAGATTCCCATGGGTCGCGAGGGGGAGCCTCATGAGCTTGCTGGTACATATCTGTATCTTGCCTCTGATGCCTCTAGCTACACAACTGGAGCTGATATCATTGTTGATGGTGGATATACCTTGCCCTGATCATGGCTATGGCCATGTTCAGTTTCCGGTTTCTGGTTTCTATTCTTTTCTGTTAGTTTTTTACATACATAAAAAAGGAAAAAAAAGGAGAGAAAATTGCAACGTAGGAAGTATCGTTTGCATTGTCTTGCCCCCCATTCCTATTTGAGAATGGGAATTGATCATTCCAGTTCAAGGCTATCGAAATAGATAGGCAGAATTTATAATTAGGGATCTTGGAGAAGTCCATTTTCTCTCATGCACTCGTACAATTTAACAGGGAATAAAAGGTCTTTTCACATTTCTCACTTTTTTTTTCAAATTGTTTTTCTACCTGAATGAATAGAGAGTGTGAAGCCAAAGCATACTCTTTTGTATGTGCCCCTATCCTCATTTCCATGGATACTTAATCAAGCTCTTACCAGAGTCACCCTTCCAGCCAACAGATGGCCTTGTCAACCGCCCAATCAACAGTCCTATGCACCCTCAAACTTAAACTTCCATACTCCTCTTCCCCATTTTCACCCTCTCCAACACAGCCCCTCTCACTCCAAGAACCACGCACTCCATCGCGAAACATCAACTTCTCCGGATCGAAATATTTAGAAATGCCGACTTCGTCCATTTGCTGCTCTTTGGGGAAAAGGGCCTGACCGTATGGGGAGGATTCTCGTCGTGGGTCGTTCGAGGAATCTAGGCGTGTATGTTGTGTGGCAGAAGATTCACATTCATGGGCCGAAAGAAGATCAGAAGTAGTGGCTGGGTCTGAGGTTAAAATGTCCATGCCATTTCCATTCCCTGGGCCCTCCATCTGCTGGCCTCCCAGTTCAATCTCCTCATGACTTTCGTCACCGCATTTGCCCCTGTCATCATCACAGCCGCGACCACCGTCAGGGCTACAGCGAGTGTTGATATGAACATATCCGTCTTTCCTCCGGCTTCTTCCCGTCCACGCCCCCTTTATATTTAAGAGCTTTGAGCCCAGTTTTCCGAATGGCCGTTTGATTTCGATAATATTCCAAAATTGCAGGATCCGATGGAGGATGTAGAGGGCGTATATCAGGAGGAGGATTGCCGGGATCAGATTTGAAAGGAGAATAGACGATGGAAGGGCGGTTTGGGTTGCCCTGTGGTCGCTTGTATCTGATATTGACTGATTGACAGATAAAAGCAGTTCGGGTGCCTGTGAAGGATCAAGCCTGTTTTTCATTATCGAAGAGAACATGATCTTGAAAGGATCAAAGAATCTGTGCTCCGTTTCAGTGGTTTAACAGCTGTAGGTTTGTTCTGATGATGCATGAATATTTTTGAAAACTTAGAATTGAAGATGGAAGAAGTTGTATAAAATCCAGAAGAAGGAGCAAAAGTTGAAGGTAAATTACGTTTCTTCATTGTCATGATTTGTGAGATGTGTTGCACACTTGAAGAGTACTGATGACTGACTTCGTCCATGTTGACAGACAAGAGTGAATTTAAGAGAAATCCTAAAACCCACTTTCAAGAGTAAATTATTGTAGTCTATCTTTTCAAGATGTCTGAGTAGTATGTCACTGCTTTTCTACATCCTGTCTTTGAAAGTTGCGTGTCAGACAAAGTAACTGACGTTTCGACTGTAGAAGAAGATATAACTTAAGTAGGCTATGAGAAAAATGGACTTGAAATAGAGTTGGTTAATAAATATCAAAGAATTGAAGTTTCTGAACACAAGACAACTATTTAAGAAAATATAGTTGTTTGATGCAGTTAAAAAAGGATTTCACATCTGGTACAATATTCAAAGCAGCTTCATGCCCTGGTAATATTTTCCATTGTCTTTGACCTAGCATTTGCTATCGTCTCATGAGATCTTACCCTACCGCACCCACTTGAACTTGACGCGGAAACGCAGAACAAAGGGCAACTCGAGGCGATAAGAAAAGTGGCGATCTGGGCATCGCTACATTGATTTAGATTGTTTTGATTCTATCAATCTCAGCATAGCGACTTTCTCGCTCGCATGTGAATTTGCCTTTGCCGAGGACAGAACGTCTAGCTACTGGCAAAGTTGGGCACAGGCACAAAGTTCACATAATAAAGCATTGACATGATTCGACTCATATTCGATTGGATTAGACACAAATGAATAGCTGAATGGTCATCGAATGACCCCCCGGGAGCAGCTCGAAGCGACAAGATCTCCAATGAAGCTGTCAGTGAAAATCATATAAATCAAAGATAATAGGTAGGGTAGTTAGTAAGTACATTCACATTTTCAAAACCTTGAAATGTGAAATTTCAATTTTCTTTTATCCTTCTTTTCCATCAATCAACCAAGGAAATCCAAAAAAAAAAAAAGAGGACGAGATAAAAGGTTTTACACACAGAGGTTGTAGTTTAACGAGGTAAAGTGATAAGTGGACAGGGTATCAAAAGAATGACACCCTCAGGGAATAGACGGGGAGTTTTGCTAGAACTGGTAACAAGAACCTGTTTAAGCAAAAAGAAAAGAAGTTAGGCGTCAGGGCAAAACGAGAAGACAGCAGTATATGGCAAGAGGCGGTGAGAAAAGCAATGATTCAAATTCAAACGAATGTGTTTTGTCCTCAGAGGTTCAGTAGATCACTGCAAAAAGGTCATATAGAAACTGCCAAACTGAGATACCGAATCATCCAAGATATCAGAACAACAGATATGAAATGGCAAAGAGGAAAGATGGGTAAATATAATAGAGGTAGAAGGAAAGGATAGCGCTGAGCCAAAAGTTAAACGCAAGGAAGAATGTCAAGTTAAAATAGTGTTTGAGCTAGAATAATTCGTCGCAAAACACACAGAAATCACTGCTTCTACCGAAGAGATCACCGTGAACTCAAGTCGGTCGAGATATCGGACCATCCGAATAGGTTGGATAGGCTAAAGTAATTCACACAAGGATGACGAATGGAAATCATGAAAATTACAAAGTAATTTCCGAATTAGTCGAGTTGTTGATAGGGAGTTTGGTTGGAATAGTTATTGCGCGTCCCAGTATCGGCTACAACAAAAAAAAAATTATGATTTCTCCGTGGCCCTCGTCACTTCAACATCTGTCGGCGTCTCAGAACCAGATACCGGTGGTTTACTATCGAATTCCATCATTGGTCGTTGATCCGACGATGCCAGTTGGTTTCTAGAAGGCTTGGGACCCCTCCGTAACTTCTCACACCAGCTCTCAGCGCTGACCAGTGTATTGTTGACCACGCCGCTGACTTGAGCCATCATGTCCAATCCTTCTTCAGCTAGGACAAGGACACGCTGTGCGCTGGTGGTCATGTCTCCCTCAGCACTGAAGCCGTCTGCCCGCAGGGTTATAGTTGAAGCTACGCGAAACCGCTGGGGGAGCGATGTGAGATGCCTTCGGACGAGATGTCGGGCGTTTTCCGGCAGTGCACCGCCGGCATATTTGGAGACGACGTCTATGACCTGTTTGAGTGTACATAGTATATCTCCTTTAACCTGTTGGACCTGTTCTGAAAGGCGAGTGGAATTTCGGGACTTCATCTCCGCATTGACTGTGTCGATTGACGACAACTGCTCCTTCTTGGAAGCATCGTATTCTTCCAGAACCCTTTTCAAGGACACGATTGAATTGCCTAGTCGACCGTTGGCCCAGCGGAGCCAGCTTAGACAATAGGTCAAGCTGCGTAGGGACTCTTCGCTCATCGCGACGCCCAGGCCGGAGGTGGAGATTACCAATCGGCTTTGCCATGTAGACGATTGGTTATTTCCAGATTTCCTGTCTAACTCAATCGACTCTTCATAATTGGGCGATGAAAAAGTATCATATGGCGGGAGAGAGTCAGCAACGGATGGTCTTCTCGTCTGGGAAGGGTTTAATTCAGCCATCCCTTTTTCAACGTCAATCATATCAGCGTTAGCGTTTGCGTTGCTAATTTTCCGACGCTTGTCCGGAGTCTCTGAGTCGATCGTCCTGTCGCCCGTTCGACGTCTCTGGAGCGCCCAACGAATTCCCCCTTCTACGCCGGTCTTTTTTCCGACGGAGCCCACTTTTTTAACCACTGGAGACCCGATATTTCGCTCCAGAAATTCAGCACCATATTTGAACCTTGGAGAGTAAGATTTAGAAGAGGTATACACGGAGACGGAGCCGTTGATGGCAGAGGATAGCAGGGGATGGGATGAGGTGAGAAGGGATAGCAATGGCTCAGGGGGTTGCTGTTGGCAAGACGAAGACCCTGCGGGAGGAGATGATGGGTTGCCGCTGCGAGATGACCCAGGGGAATTACCAAAATCTAATCAAAAATCCAACCCAAACGCGCGTCAGAAATGTCGACTTTCCAAATATATATACAAATTGATCATGCAAAACCAACCTGATCGCAGGCCTTCCAACGCCTGTGCAGCCTCAATATCATCCATTGAGAGTACGCTGGTAGCCCGCTTGCTACGATCCTCGTTATCCATATCGATCTTGGAAGGGATTGCGCCAGATGGCGCCATTCTGACAGGTGTTCTCAAAGTCGTCGTTGTGGTCGAACTTGACCTCGAAGATGTAGTAGAAGGAGAATGAGCGGTGTTATTAACAGCATACGTAGGCGGTTTGGATACAGGCCAAGTCTCAGGTAGAGGCAGATCCTGTTGAGTCTGCGATGTCAAACTAGACTGACGATCGTGGTGAGGCTGCAAAGATTCCCCCATGATAGGGCCGAAATTCCAGATACGGGATCCCAGCAAACTTGACACGTGAATGGCCCCTAAAATGGACTTGGGGATGTGCCCGTCAGGCTAAAGAATGTGGACCAGTGTTGGTCTGATGCCGAGCCTTACTTATTAGAATCAACGGCTTGTGTCGAACTGCGAATCGATTCAGGCCGCACTAAGCTTCTCACATTGAAATAAGAATGCAGAGGAGCACTGATTCTTCTACCTCAACTGAGCATGGTGGTATGATGATATCAATGGACCAAAGGGGGTGCTTTTGCTAGCTTCACGGAGCAGTGGAGCAGTGGAGCAGTGGAGCAGTGGAGCAGTGATATACTCAGCTG